CTCTCTCTGAACTCTCTCACACCAATTGTCGAGCCGGATCTCGACAATTGGTGTGAGAGAGTTCAGAGAGAGAAATAAAGCGCTGCAGACAAAGAGATAAAGTTTCAAAGCATGCTTGGTTGGTTGTTCGGGAGAACAAAGAAGATCTTCGCAGAAAATTCCTACTGCGTCAACACAAGCAGCCCTTTTTATTATTTCACAGATTGATACATTTATACTTGTGTAAAAGAAGGCATCCCTGGATCCAGAGGTGGCCAACAATTATAGACCGGTGGCCAACATCCCGTTCCTGGGCAAGGTACTAGAGCGGGTGGTGGTGGGACAACTCCAAGCACTCTTGAATGAAACTGATTATCTGGACCCATTTCAGTCCGGCTTCAGACCCGGGTATGGCACTGAATCTGCCTTGGTCGCCCTGTACGATGACCTGTGCAGGGAGAGAAACAAGGGGGAGTGCGTCCTTGTTAGTTCTCCTGGACCTCTCAGCGGCTTTCGATACCATCGACCATGGTATCCTTCTGAATAGGCTGCGGGATTGGGAGTTGGAGGCACCGTGCGGCGGTGGTTCTGCTCCTACCTCAATGGCCGATTTCAGAAGGTGGTGCTGGGGGACTATGGCTCTGCGCCATGGCAGCTATGCCATGGAGTTCCGCAGGAGTCCATTTTGTCCCCTTTGCTCTTTAACATCTACATGAAACCGCTCGGAGAGGTCACCAGGAGGTGTGGGCTGTGGAATCATCAGTACGCTGATGATACCCAGCTCTACCTCTCGTTTTCTACCAATCCAGGTGAGGCAGTGGCTGTGCTGAACCGGTGCCTGGTCGAGGTAATGGACTGGATGAGGGCCAATAAACTGAAGCTCAGTCCAGACAAGACGGAGGTCCTGTTGGTGGGCGGCTCGGACCTTGGGATGGGGGACTTGGGCCTTGTCCTAAATGGGGTTGCATTCCCTCTGAGGGACAGGGTTCGCAGCTTGAGTGCTCCTCGACCCAGAGCTGTCTCTGGAAGCCCAGGTGACAGCGGTGGTGAGGAGCGCCTTCCTTCAGCTTCGGCTGATCCATCAGCTGTGTCCCTTCCTAGAGAATGTCTGCCTGGCGACAGTGACACATGCGCTGGTATCTTCCCGATTAGATTTCTGTAACGCACTCTACGTGGGGCTACCCTTGAAGACGGTCCGGATACTTCAATTGGTGCAGAATAGAGCTGCCAGGTTGCTGACGGGGACTGGGCGTTGTTCTCATATAACCCCAGTTCTCCGTCAGCTCCACTGGCTCCCGATTGAAGTCCGGGCCCAATTCAAGGTGTTGGTTATGACCTATAAAGCCCTAAATGGCTTGGGACCTGGATACTTAAAGGAACGCTTACTCCCATATATGCCCTCCTGCCCCTTGAGGTTAGCAGCAGATGCCCTTCTCCGGGAACCATCTGTGAATGACATCAGGAGGGTGAGTACCCGGAGGAGGGCTTTCTCTGCGGTGGTGCCCCATTTATGGAATGCGCTCCCCAGGGAGGTCCGCCTGGCACCCTCGTTATTTGCTTTTCAGCACCAGGCTAAGACCTTTTTATTTAAAACTTATTTTAATTGTTAATTTATTTATTTAACTAGGGTTTTTTTTTTTTTTTAAGACGAGAATGCACTGGGGTTTTATTGAGGTTTTATTGAGGTTTTATGGTACTGGGGGTTTATTGTATTGGGGGTTTTAATGTATGGTTGACTTTTTTGATGTTGTGAGCTGCCCCGAGGCTTATTGCGATGGGGCAGCATAGAAATGTTTTAAATAAATAATAAATAAATAAACAAGAGTTGAAGGCAGTGTCTTCTCCTCTTGTGGTTTCCAGCACTGTAGATGTAGCATATAGCCAATCACACTGTCTCCCACGTCACAGCTGAGTATTAAGTATAAGGCAGTTCAAAATAATTGTAATGCAAATATAAATGCAAATCAGAAGTGGCTACATTATGCTGTGGAAGCCTAAAAAACCTTTAAGAGAAAGCTCAAATTCATATTTCCAGATGCATTTGCTATTCAGTGAAGTAATTGCAGTTATTATCTTTGATTTGAACAAGGGTTCTTCTCTTCCTGTACACTTCAGCTAAGCCTTGCTGGCCAGTGTTCCAGGGTTAAAGTACTGCTACTGTCATAAACTTCCATAGTCCAAGCCATAAACATCCTACCATTATCACCTAATGAAACTAATTATGTGCTTCCTTTGACCACATGGAGTTCAATAAAACATTCATGTTCCTGTATTTGCACAAAGCAGAGTAAATGTTTAGTGGGGGAAATGTCACTTAAAAATGTGCCATTCCTTTGATACTGCCATTCAAAAAAGATCACTGGAAATAGTTTATCCTGATGATCCATATGGGCTGTAGCTGTTTTCCAGCCATGCGGGAATTAAGTCTTGTATGTAACCAAAAGTACTATGTATTTGTCTGTCCCTTTGTTTGCAGTGACAGGAGTGTACAAACAATAAGTTACAATGGGCAATTCTAATTCATATACATAATTGTGAAAGGAGCATTCCTATTGTTTTAGTTATTGAATTAATTTCTATACTGCCCAATAGCTGAAGCGCTCTGGTGAACAACAGTAATAAACACGATGAAAGACAATATAGAATAAAATAACAGTAACACATCATAATGTTACATTAAAAATTAAAACCACAGTTGTATAACTAAGCTGTCCATGCTGCTAGGCCTGCTCAAAAACAGCTGGCAATATCTCCCTCTTCCATGTGCTACATGGAATTGGTAAATGCCAAGAAGGTGATCTGAGCCCAGAGCCAAAAAGATATTAAAGTTAGTACCAGGTGAGTATCAGTGGGAGAGCAAGCCACACTTTGGAGGCAAGCCCAGAGCAGGTCTTCCTCCTTGTTGCCACTAGCTGAGTCTCCCTTGGAAGTGAAATTCTGAAGAAGGCTTCAGATATTAAGCATTGTGTGGTTGGAGGAGGTGTTCTGCCAGGTATTGTGATTCCAAGCCATGTAGAGTTTTATAGGACATTGAATTGTATTTGGAAGATTATAGGCAGCCATTGCACATGGACCAAAAGAGGAGCTATATGTTTGGACCATCTGACTGTTTGGTTCCACTTACTTAGTCTGGGTGCTGCATTTTGTACAAGCTGGAGCCTCTGAACTGTCTTCAAGGGCTGCCCCACATAGAGTGCATTGTAGTAATCCAGTTTAGAGATATCCAGAAAGTAGTTTTCTGAAATCAGGTTATCCCTGACCAGATATGGGTGTAGCTGAGCCACCAGCCAAAGCTGGTAGAAGACATTCCAAACCACTGAAGCCACCTGGGCCTCAGGTGACAAAGATGGATCAAGGAGCACCCCCAAACTATGAACCTGCCCCTTCAAGGAGAGTGCAACCCTATCCAGAATGGGTTGAGCACCTTTCATCTGCCAGAGGAACCACCCTTCAACAAAATTTCAGTCTTGACTGAATTGAGCTTCATTCTTTTAGCCCTTGTTCAGTCTAGCCACCAGTTTAGCATATCCCAAGGCCTCATCCACCAAAGAAGAAAAGGAGAAATAGAGCTGCATGCCATCAGTATAGTGATGGCAAGGCACTCCAAAACCGCGGATGGCTCCACTCAGTGGTTTCATTTAGATGTTGAATGGCATGGGGGAGAAAACCAACCCATGAGGAACTCCATACTAGAGAATCCATAAGGTTGAGCAAAATCCCACAAACACTACCTTCTAGAGCAAAGCAGGAAGTGAATTACAGCATTGCACTATGCTTATCTCAGTCACCCCAAAAGGATGTCCTAGTTGGTGATAATCGAGAGCTGCTGAAAGATTCAGGAGTATCAACAGGGTCACCCTGCCTCCCCTGTCATATCTCCCAGCACAGAACATTACACAGGGCAGCCAAAGCCTTGTGGCAAAATCCAGCCTGTCTGAAATGAGGTAGGGGACTTCATTCATTCATTCATTCATTCATTCATTCATTCATTCATTTATTTAAAACATTTCTATGCCGCCCCATTCGCCGAAGCCTTGGGGCGGCTCACAACATAAAATATAATACATTCAAAATATAAAACTAACAATATAAAATAAGTCACCCTGGCCAGATAAAATAAGCAAATAATATTAACAATTAAAATGACGTTTAAATAAAAAGGTCTTCACCTGGCGCCGAAAAACAAATAACGACGGCGCCAGGCGGACCTCTCTGGGGAGCGCATTCCATAGATTGGGCGCCACCGCAGAGAAAGCCCTCCTCCGGGTACCTACACTCCTAATTTCCTTCATGGAGGGTTCCCAGAGAAGGGCCTCTCCCGCTGATCTCAAGGGGCGGGCAGGCGGGCGTATATGGATGTAAGCGCTCCTTCAGGTAACCAGGACCCAAGCCGTTTAGGGCTTTATAGGTCATCACCAACACCTTGAACTGGGCCCGGACTTCAGTGGGAAGCCAGTGAAGCTGACGGAGGACTTGCATTAATTAATAACGCAAGACTGAACTTTTTCAGTGTTGCATCCACCCAAAATCCATGTTTAAAGAGTGTAAAGTAACATTAAGTGATCCTGAGAATATGCCTTAAGTATAACGTGATCATCTAATTCACATTAATTATTGTAAAAACTCAAATGCTAAACAACTCAAATGGTAATAAATCTAAAAGCATTGGTATTCCAAGAATGAAAGAGGACATGTCTGGAACTAATGTAGCATGAAATATCCATGCATATGCTCATATATAAGAAACAGACATTATGGCTTCCATATAGTAGGAAATACGTTTGCTGTGTTCATCTTCATTACAAGAATATAGCGAAGATGCCCACATTCATTATATACAGTTTCATGTTACATTTTCTTTCTCTGCCACACCACAGTAACTTTACTATTCTTTGCAGAGAGTATTTGATTGGGAAAGCAAGACTTACATCACATACTTAGTATCTAATCAGACAATAAAACTGCAGATTCACATGCCAGCGTGGCCTTTTGGATTAAAAAAAAGAAGCTCTACTATAGCATGCACAGCGTAAAAGCTGTTCCTAGATATTTTTATGCCATCACATGTTGTTAAGGGCGGAAAGACAAGGCAACACATTTTATTCTGGATAGATGAATCAGATATAAAATGACTTTTCACATCCCTTCCTTCTCAGCTGCTACAGGGCCCAGAAAGTCTGGCTGAAGCTGACCCAGTTGTGGTTCTTCGTTTAGGTGTGTGTGGAAGAGTGGAGAAGCCAAAGGCTCGTATCTTTAAAAGAGCACAATGGATGGCAAATGTCTAAAGGTTTATGTGGCTAGGATTTATCATTCTTCACTGGTCCTTTGCTTTGGCTATGATGATTCATGAATTTAAATGATGATCTGAGTGAAGTAAATGAGTCACACTGCCCTCAGTGCACAAATGCTTACCATTCACACATGCAGGACTAGGATTCCACTGGGATTCCACATTAGGCTTCCATTGATGCCCAGACGGGGTTTCTGTCAGGTCTAAAGTATCATTGCAGACAGACAAGCAGCAAGAGACAAATGAGCCACTGTCTGAAGGAAAGGAGGAAGGGTGGACAGATAAAGCATTTTCAAAGTCAAGCTTCCCACCAGGCTTGTAGATGTAGCTCTTTGGATCACAGCCTAAATGTGATTAGTATTGCACAGAAAATGCAGCCTTACTTGACAATGTGTGTTTCAAGAATAAAGCTATTAATTAAAAACAATATTTTGGAAAAGCACTGTTTTAAAAAAACTGAAAAATGAGGAAAATAAATGGGATGCTCATACTTTTAACAAGTGATAGCACTATTTTGTGGAAGATAGTCAAATAGGAACAAATGGGTTCTGTCATGTGTGCTCAGGCCATGGTGCTACACAGCACAGAGACAAAAGCAGAATAGGTAAATGTTCACGGAGTAGTAATTGTCTGTCACTGCCCTCCCACCCCCCATAGTGTATTTGCTAAATTTACTGGAATTTGGACAAAGTCACATATGAATTAGCATGAGTTTGAGTCTATATTAATGAAAATGGGGGAGAATAATACCTGCCTAAAAGGTACCAGTAATGCCAGTCCTTAATAATTAACTGGAAAGACCTTCAATGAACTTAGTACTCAAGTGTGGAGTTTGGAATCTGACCCTTACTACATCTAGATAAACATTATTGTGGCATATTGAGAAGCTTTCTTTTCAGACTTCACTCCAGTCTGAGCAGTCTGTTCTCAACAGCCTTCCAATACTGCATAGTGTTACAGTTTACAGCTTGGAAAAGCCAGGCATGATTCTTCTTACTGTACTTTTTCCATGCATCATTTCCACATACTCGGCATCAGTGAAAGGTAAGTTTTTTATTTCAATGTTGAGCTTTTGGATAAGCAAAGGAGAAGTATGATAGAAATCTTGCTTATGCGGGTCTGTCATAACTAGATCATTTTGAACTTGCACTGTTTCACAATATTATACATGGATGGACAAATTGGTTCATCAGCTAGGTGTGGTTTTGGGCAGGTCAAATACAGCCTTTCTGCACTTTGAGAAAATTGTAGAAAAGGTCGGGGAGAGACATAAAAGGTATTTATATTCTGAGTAGAATTGGTATTTGCTCTCCCTGAGGGACTATATTTGAGCTTCAATGCTGATGTCATCAAGAGAGATCTACTTTAAAGTGGCTTTAGAAAAAATGTTTTTCCTAATAAGGACTGCAGTCATACACCCATTTATAGAGCAGTAAGTCCCACTGAAACCAAGGGGATTTACTTCAAAGAAGCCTTCTAAAGGATCACACAATCAGCCATGGGTGTTCTGTACAACCTTGACCAAACCACTTCATGCACATACACACAGAATGCATGTAAGTAACACACACATAAAATTGTAATGAACACATAGCTGATTTTGTAATGCAACTCATCTTGTTAATATCAATTCTCTTCTTGCAAACTTTGGGAGATGAAGTCAGGATCTGACACTAGCCTTAGATGTCACTTTCCATGACTTCAAAGATACAATTATCATACAGCTGAGTAAGCATTCTTTTCAATTACTTTGTGGAATCCATGCCAAGAGTATGACCAAGTTGGCAAGGGAATAAATTAAAGAGAGAGACACTCCAGTTCTTCTGAGATGTGAATCTGAAGGAGTTTTAATAATGGAATAGTTAAAATCTATATCTAATGTGGAATATATAGGGTGGCCACATACCACCAGAAGGAATGCAAGTCCTAGTTTATATAGGTAGGTGCAAATTTAGAAATCAAATATAATACTTCTCACCATGGAAAGGAAAATATAACTAACTAGGTGACATGTATAATTGTTCAGTCTGTCTTCCAAGTGCTTCATTCTTCTTCATCCATGCTGCTAAACATTCTGAAATATCTTTCACAATAATCCTATGTAGACAACTTGCTAGCCTTTGCATATATCACACCAGGCTGATGGCATGTCAGGGTAATCCTTCTGGAATGTGGATGAAATTCCACTTTTTCAACATCTTGGTAGATTCCTGGCTTGTCAGTTAAATGGGAATGTAGCAGGGTTGGATATTGAGCTTGTGGGAAACCAAGCCCATCAGTCCATACTAACATGATATGAATAACCACGCTGCAAAAGACCAAACATGAACTTCTAGGGCTGAAGGTGTGTGTGTCTAAAGCCAGGACTATTTTCACTATATATTGAGACTGGAATACAGAACAGGTGTTGCTCAGTTTGGACAGCCTTCAAACAGAGGACTGAACTCTCTATAGTAGGACACATAATCATCCTAGATAAACTTAAAGGAAGTTTAGGAAGATATGTTACTTAGAGTAGTTTACAGGACTGATTTTCTGTGCATGGTACTTGGTAATGGACATGCAGGTTGGAAATGAAGATGAGGAAGACAGGCAGCAGGACAGGCTGTCATTTGATAGAGCTTTTTCACATGGTTTAGGGTCTTTTTGCAAACTGTCCCAGCAGGAGGTATGAGGGAACCATTGAATCTGGATAGCATGTTGTGATACATGTGTGAAACAGTATTCAGACAGCTGCCCATATGTGCCATGATCTACATGGTTCAATTAGAGCAAGTCAATCTGTGGAGGAATACAGGGCATCAGCAGGCCCTATGTTGTTGACTGACTTTCAGTCATTCAACAAGGATACGGACAAGGTGCTTGTCCAAGTCTGACCAACCACTTGTATGTTAAATCCTTGCAGCTCTCAGTTTATTACATCCAGCAGGGATGACCAGCTGACTCAGGTGGTGGTAAATTCTTTGCTGATAGAGGGAGCTGTCCAAGTCTCCATAAAAAAGCACTAGTGCAAATATTAATAAAAAAATCTTTAGATCCAGAAGATTTAAATAACTTCAGACCAGTTGGTAATGTCTCCCTCCTTGGCAAGTTAGTTGCTGGCAAATTGCTAGCATTTCTGAATGCAGATTTTCAAGATCCATTTCAGTTGCAGTTTAGACCTGGTTTTGGCACTGAAATTGCCTTTGTCACCCTTGGGATGATCTTTTCCAAGAAAAAAATGGCAGTACTCTACTGATCACTCTATTGATTCTCCCAAATCTCTCAGTAGCTCCCAGACGCATGGCTTCCTTATTGCGAGGCTGTCCAATCAGGGTATGTAGTGCATAGTAATACTCATCAGTGCTTCTACTCATGCCTTGTCAGCCATCTCCAAAATGGAGGGCTGGGATACTTTTGTGCAATTTCATGAGAGTTTCATTTTTGCATCCTTCTGATTTCTATCTCAGCCCCTGAAATTGCTGAAGCTTTGTTTCTATGGTCATCTGAGTGCGTTGGAGGAGGGCAGGTTGTGGGGGAAGTCAGTGATCAGATCCTGTCCTATGGTGGCTATCTGATGAAAGGATGCTCTTCTATTTGGATGTTTCCTTTGTTTGAAGGGTGGCCCAATCCAAATCCAGTTCATAGACAAAGAACTAGAAGGAGGAAGAGGACCTGGGACCTTAACATTGCTCATTAGCAGTTAACACCCAGACAAAAGATAGAGCAGACTCCTGCTCACAGTCTTTTCCACCATCATGAAATGTATTATTGCATTGCTAATTTAAATTATTTCTAACCTGACATATACTCATATCAGTTATCACATCTATATTGTGGTGCATGTGGAACATCCTAGCAGTAAGAAACAATACGATCGTAACTTAGTTTACATGGAAGTAAGGTTCTCTAGGCTGCCTTGTCCCATCTGCAAATTGCATGGGAGGGGTATGTGTGCATGTACACATGCTCCCCCTGCGAACGCTCATGTGTACACACACGCTCTGTACAAAAATATGCTTATTAGCCCTCTGAATTATGAGATAGTCAGTGGCAGAACTGGGCCAAAATTTGGGAAGCCTGCTTCTGACTGCTTACAAATATTTTATGTTGATTCAATCAGATTCTGGCAAATTACATATTGCATTATGAATACCAGTAGGCAACACAAGCAGGCAGGTGCCAGTGGGAACAAGTTCCTCTGTGGCCGTCTCTGCTTTGTTGGGGAACAGAATGCTGGACTGAGCTACCATAGTACTTTTTTATCTAGCTATATATTTTAATAATATATGTCTCTGGGAGAGTGATCCGATGGCATTTTAGCAAACTGCATTTTGTCTAACACCATATTTTAATATTTTTTTCTAATAACTAGCTTGCTGTCTGTTTTTTGCTTCAAAAAGCTAAGAATTTATGAGAAAAATCGAGTGCAGACTTGCTTTTAGAAAGTATTAGAGCAGCTAGTGGTTAGAGCTGCACATGCTGCGCATGCCAAGAGTATTAATAAAAGGTACAGGCCCTGACAGCTGTCTCAGCTCAAGCAGCATAACTTTCTGCATTATGCGGTATCATGATTTAATTATAGATAGCCATAATGACAGACACCAGGACTGCAAGCCAGGCTGTAGCTGCCTACTGCTCCCTGCGAAATACTTTGACCAGTGAGGCACTCTTGACCCTAACTCAATATATCAAAATACTGCATTAAAGTCCAGGTCTTGCGCTATTTAAGGAAATGGGAAACCCAAGGGTGTATATTTGCAGTCCACAACTATATTACAAGGGCTAAACTAATTGAAGGGGGTTGCAACTTAAGTTAAAGAAATATAATATCTGGTCTAACAAAGTGGATATTAATACATTACTGCTTGCTTTTGGTCATGCATTAAAATTTGAGTTAGTGTTACTATTTCTATTCTACTTTTCTCTCCTAAGAGATATTCAATATGTTTTACACGATTAAAACAACAAAACAGGTAATAAGAACATATGAAGCATAAAAACAGATGAGACCAAGATAAGAGATTAAAAATCCTTCTAGACTGTTCTATTAGGGTGCCTCCAGATGGGACCTTTATGAAACATTACTGATATTTCTAAGGAGTTCAGATGACACTATCTTCAGTTCATAATCTTCCCATGTTTCCCCACAGGTTTGTCCATCTTTTTCCATACTATAGAAAAGCCATTAAGATTTTTTTTTAAAGAAAGGACAGGACAGGACAGCTGCCCAATGCTGTCTGGCTGCTAGCACTAGGATTGTTGAATTGGGAATCAAATATGCAAACTCCATTGCTTTTCTTGGTACTGCTACTAGAAGGATATTTTATGGTGGATCTATGAAGGTTTTTGTTTTTATGTTCTGTTCTGTTGGCCTTATCTATTGCATCTGTATGCTGCCAGCCAAAGCACTCATGGTGGTTAAAGATGAAATAAATAAATCCAGGAGAAGTGATGAAAAAGAGAGAGGGCATGGAGAGAGAAAAGGCAAATAAACAAATTTAGATGAAGCTCTTTCATAGTGTTATATAATGAATTCACATGAGTATGTGGAGTGGTCACTTCAGTTCAGGAGAAAGTTTGAGGAGCAGGTGGAGGAGAAGAAGATGGAAATGGAGCCAAGCCAGAAGACTTACTGGCTGGGTTCACATGGCATGGCAAATAACGCTGTGTTGTTTCCACAGCAAATGTTTTTTTGCCCAGATTTACCAGTCGGGTGATCACATGGTTACGCAGCAGGATGCTTGGTCCCTGCTCAGTCCTCCCGGCATTCTGTGCATCCTGGCAGTCCCTATGCACAAAATTGCCCTCCTTTTCCTATTCTTGTCTATGAACCTCTGCAACCTCCTCCTGAAGGGTCTGTTGCAGTCCTGAGGTAGGTTCCTCCTTCTAAGGGTTCCTGCATATCCACAATACTTGTCAGCCCCCACAGAGAATTTTATTAAATGAAAATAAACAGCTTCATCATGGTTACCCCTTCTCCCTCCATGTGCTTTCACATTATCTTTATCTCTCCAAAATGGGGAGGTGGACACATCACTCCATCAGTGGGAATAAAGAAAGCAATGACACATCTGTTGCTAGGGGATTGAGGGCAGTAGAGATTGAAGGCTAGAAGCAGCCACTTCTGTGGCTACTCTTGCAGAGAACTCTATGACATTGCCATACTAACAATGGTAAAATCACAAACTTGTATCTGGACAACCAGACAAGTCATAGTGGAACATGGAAACTTTAGGGCAGACCAATGATTCTCTCCATGATTTCAGAAATGTAATCCTATTACACAGGAACTCCAAACTGGGTCTAGATGATACAACAGACCCACAATGGTAAGATTTTACCATGGCTTCTTGTGTTGTGCAAACCTGCCCACTGTAGGGCCAAACTTGCCCTCAGATGGAGCAAGAAGAATGGCCCAACCTAGACATGATGCAGCAGCCACTTGAATGTATCCATTTCCTTTCCCTGTATATATATGAAAAGTGTGTGGAAGATCATTTTTACACATGAAATTGGGAACCATCAAACCTTTCTGCCCCACCTCATTCTACCCCATTGCTTGAAGCAATTTTCTGCCCAGTCTGTTTCACCTGAAGTATTAACTGCCCCTATGCATCAACTCTGTCCTTTAATCATAGCCCATATGGGTCAAACACAGGTCCCTACCTCATACAACCTGTGATTTAGGGTTCCTTTCTCCTTTCCTGAGGCAATTAGCCTTTGCCATAAACAAACACCGAAGGTTGCAGGCTTCTCTACATGAAACGCGTCTTGTGTGCTTGTCATTCCTTACAGGTGTTTATGTGTTCTCTAGATAATGCCATGATCTTCTACATTTCTTTCTTTGTCTAACTAGCACTTGCAGTGAGGGTTTTTTTTAAGCAGGGAAAAATCAACATTTAATTATGGAAGTGAAAGTTTAATTTTGTTTTGTATATTTGCATTATTCCATTATTCTGCCATGCTATAGATAGAGGTTATGTGACAGAAAAGCCGGAAATCTTGTCTAGTGCTTAGTTCTCAATTCTGTGACAAAACTGAAAGTGGATCTAGCAGCTTAATGGGTAATTAACAGCTTTTTGTAGAAAAACTCTGCCTTTGCAGGAATTTGTAAAGACCTCCCTTCCCCCACTCCTGAGGTTTAGTGGAATTACAGGTCTCATTTAACTTAAATAAATCAATAGTACTAGGATGTCACAAGCATTTGAATGCAGGTGCTCAGGATTCAAAAGAAACTGGGAGAATTTCCATGCATCCAGCTGAGTTTCAATGCTCCTAAGCAGTGGAAGAGCAAAGACATTAGAAGAGACTTGCTGAGTCAGACCAAGGCTGTCTAGTCGGGCATTGTGTTCCCAAAGTAGCCAGCCAGGTGCTCATGGGGAGATCACAACAGTACGTGAATGCAGCAACGCCCTCCAACTGGTATTGAGGGGTATACTTCCTCTGAAACTGGAGTTAATATTAAGAATGTCATAATGGCTATTAATTTATAGACATCGTGAGTAGTAACCATTGCTATCTTTTAATAACTTAAATTGCTGAATGTGCTTGATTGCAGCTCTTCTAAAAAGTATGATCAGATAAGGTTAGACATTTGATTCAACATTCTTAAGTTTTAATAGGAGGAAACTGTGAAGTCAGTTTACTGACACAGCATGTTTCAGAAGCCAAGTGGGGACAGGGTGTTGTGGGACAGTAAATGATTCCAGAATGCAGCAGGTGAAGAAGAAATGTTGAGCAATGAGTGTTAACTGAGGAGGGCTCAGCGGGGATCCCTGCTATGGAAAGAGTTTCACAAGAATTTCCCTGTTTTCAGTTCTGGAATGTTGTAGCATGATTAACTCTTCTTGTGCGGGGATGGTTCCATTTCAGTTACATGAGGATCCACATTTGGGGAACAAATTTGCTGCTGTGTATGGGATAGCATCATCAGCATGCTTCGTTTTTTATATAACAGAAGCAGTATAGATAAACTCCCCACTCCTGGGAACGTACAATCTAAATTCTGATGATGGAGGTGCCTATAAAGAGAGGGTTGGAAAGTCAAGGGCAACAAAAGGTGAACACAAGCCAATTCAAATCCATTACAGTACAGGGAGGAGGTAGGCTAAAAGGTTAAGCCAAAGAGAGGCAGGGTTTTGAGAAGAGATCTAGTGCTTTTCCACATGTATACTAAATGGAATAATAATATTAATATGCACTCTATCTACTGCTCATTTCATTGAAAAATTGAAATCTGAGCACTATTTGAAGAGCTTTTCCTTTTCTGCTTTTTTGCTATATAACCTCCAGGTGGCACTGTGGGATAGCAAATACACAGATGAAAAAGCTGTTTCCTTCGCTTTTTAATTAAATACATTTCCCCTGCTCTTAAAAAAAATGCAATGAAACAGCTTTTTAGACAGAGAAGTGAAACTGGAAGGTCCCATTGTCTTCTAAAGAGACTGTGAACAACCACGAGTAGTAAATGACAAACACATGAGAAAGCCACATGTAGAAAAGCCGTTGAAGGGAGGATTTAGAAAAGGTGAAGTACTGTTGAACTTCTTTTCTTGGAGAACCAGTGTGGCATAATGGTTAGACCTGTACTGAGACTTCTGTTCCTCACACAGCCATGAAGCTCCACTGGGTAACTTTGGGCCAGTCACTCAGGCTAACCTATCTCACAGGGTTATTATAAGAAACAAAATGGAGTTGACAAGGATTGTGTAAGCTGCTTTGGGTTCTTTGCAAGAGGAAGTAGTAGTACAATTGCCAGGCTGGCAGCTGAGAAAGAAATCTGTTTTACTGTTGCAGAAGCAGCACCAGCCAGGGAAGTGGGATGCATCAGGAGCCGATCCATGAGACTCACCCTGGTGGTGCAACCATTTTGAGTCTGTGCATTGCCACTCAGCTTCCCCTGCCATTTTTAATGTCTGCAGCTACTCAAAGCATGGGGGCTCCACTCACCTTTCATTGTGGCTCAGTGGCTGTGGCCAGCCTACCACCCACCTTATTCCAGTATCTGGGCCACCTGCTGCAGTGGGGAATTTAAATTCTCTGAGTTGCCAGCCTGGCCACCTGACATATTCCTTTAGAAAAGGGAGTGCCTTTGAGCATGTGGAGTGTGTTGTGTCCTCGCTACTGACCAATCTCATGCAGCACTTTGCCATGGTGAGAAAACTCTTCCAGCCAAAAGGACACATTCATTTAAGAGAAGGACTGGGGCTGGGGTGGGGGTGGGGGTGGGGGTATATTCCAGTGCTCGGGAGGAAAAGCAGAAGAAGCAGGGCCAAAATACCAACACCACAAACACGTTAGGAGAGTCAATCAGACCTTTTAAATATGAAAAAACACCCTTGGAAAGCCAAAGAATGATTGGTGGTCAAGGGGAGAGGAATGTGGCTGTGGAAAGGGATCATGGACCTCCAGAAGGTGGGATTTGGCTGCCACCTTGTGATTCCAGCCCAGTGTCAGGTTTCTGTGTGTCCAGGAGACAGACTGTAGCTGTGTTATATCTAATTTTTAAGCACTCCTTGAGAAATAGAAGAAGAAGAGGAATAGGAGGAGGATATAATGGGCTGTTTGGATTTATAATAATCACTGACGCCATGCTTTCCACATTTCCTTTTGTTGCATAGGCCACAATACTGGTCCACGAATTAACAATGACAAGATATATAAGTTTGCCTACTCCACAGAAGTGCTTATCAACAGGCTGAAAGGTACACCCCAGGAGAGCTCAGGCTACCGAATTGTGGCTGGAGTGGATGTCAACTTAGTATGGAGGAATCCGGATAATGATGATGATCAGCTGATCAAAATTGCGGTAGGTAATTTAACAGAAGCTGACATTTTAACAGGAAATGGCATTATAAGTACCTTTACTGTTTGCAAGAAAACCTTCCCCAACCTGGTACTTATTTCTAGATGCTTTGATCAGGAAAGCTGGAGTTGTAGTACAAAACATTTGAGGGGCACCAGGCTGGGAAAGCCAAAGAAAAGTACACCTGGTGAGAAAAAGACTTTTTAATTTTCTTTCTTTATAGGTAAACAGTAAATACAGAAAATCTGTGTTTTGTTTAAATTTAAGATGCAGTTCTAAGCATTTAGGATGCTAAGCATCCTTCAGACAGGGTCCAATGGCCTACCTCATCACTGGGAACTGATGTGCTGCAGTTCTGCTTTCTGGCAGGTTTTATTAAGTTTTCCTCATGCACCCTTTCCCCACAACACTTCATGGAAATCCCCTTCTGCTCTTCAGAGACCCCAGTACAGTGCTTCTGTCTGTCTGTAAGCTCCTGGTTCTGTCTCGCCTCTCGGCGCCTGCAGTCTTGGTGTCTGGTGTCTGTTCCCTTCCTGGAGAGCAGTGCATTGCTGGGACAGCAGCCAGTGAAACCAACCAGACACAAGTGTGTCTCCTCAGTCCATCCCTTTGCCTTCATTGACTTGGCTGCCCTCTTCACCACAGAAAAACTCTTGGCCAGCTGGCTCGATTCTTTGTGCAGGTATAAAGGGGGCAGGGCAGCCTCAGATATCCAGCTCCTGCCCTGCCCTGCCCTGCCAAGCCATGACTGACTGCGATTACTTTTGGTTGGGCTGCAGGGTGGAATGGGAGAGACCAGCATGCCACCTGGGTCATGCAAACCACAGGTCCTCTATAGGATGCTATTTGACTCCAGGGCAGGAGCACTGAACTGAAGGGTCCTTATCCAGTCTTCATTGTTCTCCAGTCCATTGCAAATCACCCACAGATCTTTCTTCTCACCTGTGCCCTAAGCTAGCCTGGGTGCATTTGGAGGCTATTGGCCTGACAGTGAAAAGAAGGGAAGATTAAAGGGGATCTAAGTAATATTCAGTTTTCTGTAAGTGTCAGTCTGGTTATCTTTTGGACATGGAATGGATGGAGGGCTGTCTTGTCCATGTCTTGAGGTAGCCCTGTCTGAAAGGATCTGTATCTGAAGCTTGTGATGCCAACTGTGAAAGTTCCAGGCTACAAATCTTTTTTGAAAATCTGTTTTGAAATCCGCAGTCTTTGCAGAGGGTAGCAGAAGATGCCTACTGGGAGTGCAAAGAGTGGGGAGGGTGATATTAGGTAATCTTTCCCCTGCCAATGCACAACAGAGATCTTCATTTTGTTCTCCTTTGTTTGCTTTTCCAGTTTACAGATATAAGTGTGGAGAATGTTGCTGATCGCCCTCCAAAGAAAAACATTTTTAAAGGGAAAAAGATGGACGGATTCATTGAAAAAGAGCAACTTGCTGCCCTAAAAAGGCCGATAGTTCTGCAATGGACCCTTGGAAAGGTGAGGAGGGGGCTGAGGAAGCCTCTAGTTTAAACAGGATTGACATCGAAGGGAGGCCTGGGTGGCCAGTGGCCAAGGGCCCACATCCCCCAGCAAATGCCCACTGACAAGGGCCTCCTGGAGTAGTTCCTCAGCGTCGCCATGGCAACCTGTGACTGTAACCAATTCCCTGCCTCTTGGTCTGGCCTAGGCAAGAGGAGTTGCAAGAAGGAGGAACAGTAGATGGCACTGCCTGCTAGGGATGGGAGGGACCTTGTCAAGATCCATCCCTCCAAGAATCCACAGGCTTCCTCTTGTGCTCAGCCCAGTCTTCCAAAGAGAGCTGAGTCGGGAGGAAGTCCGCAGACAGTTGTGGCAACCTTCTTCTGCATCATCATCATCAGCAGCAGCAGCAGACCAAAAGGCTGCCTCTTGCCAGCACAGAAGAGATGCTGCTTGACCAGCAGTGTGTGTGTGGGGTGGGGGGGACTGCTTTCCTGGCGGGTGTTTGGTCATGGGGCACCCACCCAGAAAGCAAGTCGCCCTGACCAGTTGCAGCAGCTGCTCGCATTCCAGAGTAGCTGCTCAAGCAGCAGTTGTGGGGGCTACTTTCCTGGTGGGTGCCTTGTGGCAAAGCGCCCCGTGACCGGCCTTCTTGGGTGGAAGGAGAAGGCTGAGTCTGAGCAGCTGCTCTGGCAGGCAAGCAGGTGCTGTGCAGGCAGCAAGGGGGGCAGTGGGCAGGTGCCTGGGCGTCCGTTCCCAGCAGCTCACCTTCTCACTCTCACTTCCCAGCAAGTGCCCAGCGAACCCTGCGTGCGTTTGCAAGGAGCTTAGACGGTGGGCCGTTGCACAGCGGTCGGAGTCTGCGAAGCTAAAACAAGGGAATCCAGCGAGGCTGAGTCCTCACACATCCCTATTGCCTACTTAGTTTCTGTTTCCTCAATAGCAGCCATGAGAAGAGAGAAGCTGAGGAGGAACAGTGGCTAGTGACAATGAGAAGAAAGACTCACAGAGAGAGGGCACTTACTGAAAGCTTGAGTCTTGCCTTAGGGCCTTCGAAAACCTAAAGCCAGCACTGATTGTGAACCATCTGTCCCTTTCCTTGAGCAAATTTGTGAATAATCCCTTTCAGGAGTGCTTTGATTTAAGCCCTGGACAATTTGTAACATACCAAAGCACACACGGCCTGCTTGTCATGTACGGAGACCTGGCAGGTGCTTGTAAACCTGCCAGGACTGGCAGTTCCAGGCAGGCAGCCAAAGTAGGAGTCTTACGGAACCCCCTAATAGATGACCAGACATGGGCAATGTAGTGGGCTGCCCTTTGCTTGGTGCAGCATCCATTTTATGGATCAGATAGGTATCATATTTGCTTTTCTGCCACCACTGGGAGAAAAAATGATCATGGCTTGGCCCTGGAGATATTGACGTGTATGCACAGTGGATACATGGATTTCCCCTGTCTCTTTTGTACAGTTGGCACATGAATGAGAGGGTGCTGTTGCACTCATGACTTGATTGTAGCCTTCCCATTGCAGCATCTGGTTGGCCACTGCGGGAGCAGAATGCTGGCCCTGATAGGCCGGTGTTCTCATCTAGCACGGGTCTCTGTATGTTCGAACGTTTGCTCACAGATCAATAACCATAAAAGAGATGCCCTCTGTTTAATGTATGGAGAGCAAAAGGGTTGGATCCGCATGTGGCAATCAAGTAGGCAGTGCTTGGAATCCAAGTGTTCCAGGCTGAACTTTTCAAGGCCGATGGGAGGGGAAAGGCTGAACGATGGAGGTGAGAAAGAAAGAAACTTAACGAGCTTGGTGCCTGCAAGACATGTCGAACTAGTCCTGAGTTCTTCATACAATTGCTATGGCATTGAACATCTTTCAGAGAAGACAGGTCACAAACAATAAGCTTGTTTCCTTCTCTCTACACCTATTCCATGGGTTGTCACATGATCCCTCCCCCCGATACAGTCCTACTTTAAAAGGATCTGATTACTTGTGAACCTCCCTTCTACTTAGGAGACATATCTCTATCACATCCTCCAGTAATCTGTGCCCATTCAAGCAAAATAAAATCCCCTGCTGCTCTTATTTGTTACTGGCACCTTTGTCCCCATCAGACAAATATCTGCTATTTATTCTAAGGTGTAAGCAAGCTCTAATGTCCTGATATACTTTTTGTATTTTATATGGGATTTTAATGATTGTAAGCCGCCCCGAGGCTCATGCGATGGAGCGGCATATAAGTTATTTAAACTTATATATTGGGCCTTCCAATATATATATTGGGCCTTCCATATGAGACATTTATCATGTGCTTATCCTTCCTTACTTAGGGTTGTTTTCAAGTTCCTTAGATGACATTGTGACCTCTAGTTTTGCTTCTCTGTCTAATGAGCACTTTGGCAAGCTTTTTCAGAGCAGGAAAAATGCACCCTTTAATTGTGAAGTAAAAGAAAGCACAACTTCATTTGCCACCTAGAAGTTATGTAGCTGAAAAGTAAGAAAGGAAACCACCTTGTGCAGTGTTTGGATCTTAGTTCCTCAACAAAACTGAGAGTAGATACAGAAGATTAACAGCTGATTAGCAGCCTTATGTAGAAAAGCTCTGTTTTTACCAGGATTTGGGGGAAAATCCTTTCCCCCCACATCTGGTGCAGAGCTCAGATCTCAATTCTTTGATGGGATAGATACAGCATGTTAACTATCTCATGTATTTATTGCAGCCATGATTGATAAAGTGGTGGCAGAGTGTGTGGGCTGGGGATTCATACAAATTGCAACTCCTTGAGTGCTGGTGGAAGGGTCAAAGTCTTCTCTGAAGTTCAGCCGCAGTGGTATAGTCTGGCAGGTCAAAGATCATGGTGTGTATGACACGTCTATATGCCACTGTTCTAGTTGCCATACTTTTTGCCTGCTTATGGTTTAGGTTAAAGTGCAAGACAGATGATATCTCCAAATTTCTGCTGGGGTGGGGATAGAGGGATTACCACAAAGTCATTAATAGGGTCAAAAGCCGCACCATATCAGGTCAAGGTCCGACAATTTCTCCATCTAACCCACTACATCTACTCTGATAGGAGGAGAAATTGAACCTAGAGCAATTTGCATGCAAAAGTCTGTTATAACAATGGACTATGCATCCAGCCCAGGAAAGTCCAAGATCTCCTCCTTAGGTATCTTGACATCTGTATGAAATCTGGCTGCTATTGCCTGCACTTAGCACTTTGGAAAAATGCTGGTGATCATGCTCTTATTTATGTCTAACTGCACGGGAAACTTTTATCACATCTAGCTCTAGTTTCTGTGGGAAGAATCCATGGGTGCATTCTTACTAGAGCTATTGATGTTGCACCAGCAGAGAATACCTCTTGTGCAACATCAGTAGCACTTGGTAGTACAGCAGTTTTCCTGTTGGTTTCTGCTAGTGCAACATCAGTAGCGCTACTCAGAGCACACTCATGGCTTCTTCCTACAAAAGCCAGAATCAAATGCAATAAAACCTTCACATGGAGGTCACCCAGGGATCTCTCTTCTTCCTATCCATGCCCAGAAGGAGTACACCTTTGGATCCCTCCCAGAATTTTCAGAGCAATTGCTGTTGTATTTTAAAGAATGCTTTTGAGATCAGCCTTAAATGTTAGCATTATTGAAATGAACATTTGCTTATTTGGATTCTGTATTTGTATTTTAAAATGAATTGGTTTATGGAGATTGCTCTGACGTGCTTGTTGCTCTTCTTTTGCACTGATGTGGGCACAACTACATAAGAACTATCAATAATAATAATAATCTGAAAAAATGTTCTTGATCAGATGGTGCATTCTGGAAGTCAGTTTTCAGGTGAAGGTTTATGCATATTGTCATGTCAGTTTCTCTCTCTTTCCCTGCCCAGATTAAAAACTTCTATTCCTATGAAAGTGAACCTGCTCTGATTCAGAATCTCAAGAGAGGTCTCGCCAGCTTGTTCCAGATCCAGATGCACTCTGGGACTGTCACTGAGGTATTGTGCAACTGCAAGCCAGGCAAACTCAGATGTTCAGTGCTGACATAAACTATGTCTGTGTGCCCTTTTTACTAGAGAGGCATTCTTACTAGAATGGCATCACATCCTGATGGTCAGAAATGAATTGGAGGAAAAGAGGAAGGGATGGAAAAGTACAGGCAGAAGGAGGAGGGCAGGCACTCATGGTAGAAAAAAATGACTTAAAAGGTGGCTCTGTAAAGGTTGATATTGAGAACCAAGATTCTAAGCTGCCTAAGCTTAGATAAGGCAATGCCTGTTACAATGTTTATTGGTGTATTACCAAGGGCCAAGTATGGAGGGGAAGTTTAACCCTTTCTTCTCTTGCTGCAGCCTTCTGCAAATCCCCCCACCCCCCTGGTTGCTCTTTTCATGGAGAGAAAATTCTCTTTGGGTAGCAATGCCTCTTTCCCCAGCAAATACAACTAGTTGGTTCTGTGATTTTCAATAGTACAGGAGGATATGTGATGGGACAGCAATGTATGTGAATGCTGGACTTGGGAGGCCACCGGTTAAAGGACCCACACAGGGGCCAGTCAAGTCTCTCAGCTTAACCTACCCCACAGGGTTGTTATAAGGATAAAATGGAGAGGGGGAGGACCATGTGAACTACGCTGGGCTCATTGCATGAAGAAGAAGGTGGGATGTAAGTGTAATAATAGCTAAATAAAATCTGTTTTTGTCATCTGTTCTCTAGGTGGATGTCTGTGGTCAATGCAATGTTACTTACCAGGTTCGAGAAAATCAAGTCACTAAAATTAAAGCCTTGAGCAGTTGCAGATTAGAACGGACAGGTTTTACCAGCCACAATCAGGTACAGTCCAGTTAATATCATTTATGCACATTATGGACACATCAACATGGAGAATTCAAGAAAAAATGATGTTCTAGTTATACAGCTGATCTTGGAGCGAGGTATTAAATATTGCCCTATACAGAGTCAAAGTGAGGATCTGTCTTCCCAAGTTTCACTCCTGAGACCTGTGATATTCATTCATTCATTTCTAACCTGCCCTATATCATAAGGTCTCAGTGCAAGATGTAATCCATTGATAAAATAATTCATTATAAACAACAGCAGTTTCACAGTCCACTCTAACTAACATTGCTATAATCAGCAATAACCAAACAAATGAATCAAACTGAGCTAAAGTCAATGAGTCCAAAATGCTTGGGTAAATAACATGGTGCCAAAATAAGGCCAGTTTGGGACCAACTGGGCTGCTTGGGAGAGAAATCCAAAACCACAGAGGGCTATCTCTTGCACCTTCACATGATGTATAGATCCCAGCAGTAAGACACAGAGGTCAGCTGGTTCATCCAACCTTGTGAGCCAGTGTGGTGTAGTGTTTAGGAGCGCAGGAATGGAACTCAGGCGATCTGGGTTCTAGCCCCTGCTCAGCCATAGAGCCAAATGGGTAAACTTTCCAGTCATGGTTTCTCAGCCCAGCTTACCTCATAGAGTTATGGGGGTAAGATGGAGAGAAGGAGCAGAATGGTGCAACCTGTCTTGAGCTCCTGGGAAGGAAAAAAGGCAGGATATAGATCTAATAAATAAATAAAACTCAAGCAGGTGTATACATGGGGATAGTCTATCTCAGATGTTGAGGTCCCAAACCATTTAGGGCTTTAAACATCATCATCACGTTGAATTCAGCCTGGAAGTCTATTGACAGCGAATGCAGTTTCTCCATCAGCAGTGTCGTATGCTTTCTCTGTCCTGTTCCTGTCTAGTAGTCTAGCTGTCACCTTTCTGCTTTAGCTGTAGCATCTGGGTCACCCTCAAGGGCAACATGTAAGAATGGCTTGGTTGGCCCTCCCTAAAGGTCCACCTGTGCCAGGACTTGCTCCTCAGCCATGACCAGCTGGGTACCAGCAGGAATTTCACGAGTGGAGAATGGTGGGAATGAGCATCCTGGTTGTTCTCAGTTGCTGGTAAAGAAAGAAACTGAAGTGCTAAATACAGAGGCTGCATGCTGGGTTTTCTTTTTTCCCGTTGGTTATCCAACTCAATAGATGCCAATTAAGATTACCAAAGTAGATTATTACAGTGAATTCTTCAAGGGACTGTCCTTGAAGCCTGTTTAGAAGCTGCAGCTTGTGCAACATCAGCAGGCAGACTAACTCAGTCCAGTAGATTACTGGACATATGAAACCAATTCTGTCCAAGTTGCACTGACTGCCTAAATGCTTCTGAGCTGGGTTCAGGGTACTGATTTTAACTTACAAAGTCCTACATAATTAAAGCTTTGTAACAAATGCAAATACAGTGAAATACTCTGTAAAATTCCAGTATACGATATACATATCTAAAAAAAGGTTTGGTGTTTTTTTGAGCAGCTAAAACCTGCATTTATTTCTGAATTTGCTGATCTTCCAAAATTATTTTTTTTCAGCTTCTAGATGTCAGCAAAAAATCCACTTCAGCCACAATTTATATGCTGGAGGACACTTTTATTAAATCTGTGCGGACAGAGGAAAATCATGCTTTGCATGTGAACATTCAGCAAGAAATTGATGCAAAAGTAGTTTCAAAGTAAGATGACTTGTTTGATTATTTTGAAGAAATTGCTTAGTCCTTAACGGTATTTCCTAAGAGATCTTATAATGGATTTTTACTTGTATGAAGAAAGGTTGAAAAAAATGGTGGGAAACACATGGAAGAGTTAAATATTTGTTTTTTATTTTATTTTATTCTATCCTATTTGTATGCTGTCCTATTAGCCATATGGCTCTCTGGGTGGCTTAGAACAAATGGAGGTTGATGCTGTCCAGACTTCTGGAAAATTCTGTGTTTGTGGGAGATCAATTGCAGGATGAAAGCCTCATCTGAAAGCACCCTATATCCAAGCGATTATGCTTTTGCGGGCAACCTGATGCCCTTTATTGTGTACCCTGTTTTTAGAAATAAATGAAACCGTTTGAAAACCATTTAGTGGTGCATGAAAGTGAGAGTGGGTTTTACTCTTGCTCTCCTCATTCTGTGTTTCTCAAGTGTTCTGCTTTTGTTCCATATGTTGGATAATGGTCATGGTGTGTGCTACGCTTTTATGACTTGTTTTTTATTCTAAGTTACATATTGCAACTTGCTGTTGTACCAGCATTTAACACCTCCTCACTTGTGTCAGGCAGTTTAATAAACAGAATCCCTGCTTAAGACTTTCACTTGACTATAGAGGCTTAGATGTGGAAACATTGCAGTCCTTACCTTGAAATGCTGTTTTGAAGTAATGCATATAGCAATTATAACCTAGTGATTAGATTAGCATTGAATATGGTTAAATATGCATTCAAAATACAACTGAGATTTAAAGTTTTGTTTCAGTACATGTACAATATTGGCAGCTCCCCCACCTATGGAACAAGCTCCCCACTGAGGCCTGCCTGATGCCAACACTAATATCTTTTTAATAACAGTTGACTGCCCTTTATGGCATTTAATTTAACAGGTGTTGTGCTTTAATTTGTTTAAGCTATTGTGGCTTTTAAAATTTGCTTTTAATTTTTGTCACGGTGTTTTTCAGTTATATAATAATAATAATAATAATAATAATAATAATAATAATAATAATAATAATTGTAGGCAGAAACTGGAACTGAAGTCCACAGAAGCTGGCCCAGGAATGATGGCTGGGAAGCACATTGCTAGCATTGTCAAAGCTCTGGATCCAAAGTATGTCTCAGTTTCACTAGTGGCACAGGCTGTCTCAGATGAATGCAACGACTGTCCCTCGGTAAGTCAAGAAAAGGTCAAAACGTGGATAACTTAAAGCAGGGGTAGGCAACCCTTTTGGCTGCATGGGCATCATGTGTCAGTTTGAAAAGCCACCCTGGGCATCCCTGGGGAAAGGCTGGTGCGGGAGCCATGTTGAGTCAGAAAGGACAAAGACCGTGCCAAAGACCCGTGTTGCAGAATGCACAATCCTGCCACTTCTCTGCCAGTGAACTCAGCCTCTTCTCACTATTTTTCTGTCCCACACAGGATATTGCCACCAATAGATATCTGTATTTACATTTAGTTATTTACCTTCTATGCCTCAAAATAGCCAGAGCTCCCTGTTCTGTTCTGTTCTGTTCTGTTCTGTTGTTTTGTTTTAATAAAAAGTGTTGAATTTTAGCAGCTTGTGGGGTGCCTAGAATGGTTCTTTGCTGGCCATACTCATGTTTCCTACCTTGGCCTAAAATGAAAGCAAGCCTTAACGTTTTCAGACCTTTAAAAATATTTTGTACTGGTACCAGGGCAACTCAACAAGGCTCATTAATCATAGCAAAGCACAGTGGCAAATTGCATTGCTTCGTTGGTTACTGTGTCTCATAGAACAATCCTGTGGCATCCAAATAGCATCTAGACTGCTGTAGGACTTTGTAGATTCCCAGCTCTGGGGTCCCAAAATCACGCCAACCTCATCACTGAGGATTTGCACTTGGCTCCCTCTCCCACCCATGGCTGACAACATGCTTCTTAGAAGATTGGAGATACAGTCAGCACTCTGTCCAGTGACTGAGTTAAGTTGCTCGATTGTACCTTGATGACAGATACCGTTATACTGCGACCTGTGAAACAAGATGCCCTCTTGCTTGTTACTTTGCCTGCACACTTAAAGCTGTGGAAGAGGGAGAGCAGGAATGTGCCTGAGGCCTGAAGATAGGAAGCTGAGGAAATCACAAATAAGTGGGAGAGACTTTCTCAGTGAATATTTCCACCACCGACTTCCTGCTGTTACAGAAAGCATTTGGATGAGAGGTTGGCCTGAGGGGTTTAGCTGCCTGCTTTCCTGAGGCTTCCACTGCTACTGTCATGGTGGCAGGAAAAATGCATCCTTTACAGTTTTTTCCTCAAGTTTGTAGTTCTTTGCCTATCTATACATTCTGTTAACTAACCACGAGGTGGCACTGTAGTATTGTGCCACTATAGTGGATTTGCATCTTCTCCTAGGACTTTTGTTCCAGTTTAAAATTTAATACTAGACTTTCCCCCTTCTGAAAATCCCCATGAAAATGGATGGAAAATATAGGAACCATTTCCAAGCAGCGCTCCAGTAAAGGGTGGGCATCAGACCAGAGTGCGAATCACAGCGGTCTCCACAGCCACTGCTGCTGGAAGAGGCGTACCATGATGCACTGCTGCCAGCTAGATTCCGAAGTGACAGCCGGGGATCCAGAAGGCAGTGCGTGGACACAGGGAAAAAGCAGTGTGAGGCAGTCCATCAGTGTGGCAGTCTTTGAGACAGTTGCCAGGCAGAACAGGATGGTAAAAAATGCAGGCTGTAGTGTCTGCTATAGCCTTGGCCCACTCTTGACCCTAAATTCAATGGTGGAAACATGGAACCCACATGGAAACTTGGTAACTGGATTTGGACTGCCAAACAAGCCATGATGAAGGGCTGAAAGCCTTTGTTTCTCTGCTAGTTTCATGGGAACCAAACCAAATCATGCTTCACATTCAGACGTAATGACAAGCCATTTCTGCTCTGGCTTATCTTTCCGTGTGAACCCACCTAACATCTCCAAAGCAATGCTGACTGTGGTGTCATGCATTCATGCCCAGTTGAGGTTTATAGTTTCCAGCTCTGTCCCAGACCATTAACGCATCCCTGCTTGTCATTAATCCACAGGATATAGCCTCCACCTCACTTCTCATCATTACCAAATTAAGTTTAGTTACAATTCAGGCAAGATGAACTCTCTGTCACTGAAACTGCAGTGCTATTTGTGGATAGCATCATCTGCTGTCACTTAACGGCACTGACCCTACAGAGCTAAAGTGCTTTAGCGAAGGCTGAACTGGTGTTGATGTAGTTTCTTGGCTAGGAGAGCTGCCACAAATGTTACTGGAAAGAACAGCTGCGCTTTCTCCAAGGAATGCCACAATAATGCTAAACAACAGTAACACGCGCACACACGCACACACAATAGCATAGGTCAGTATAGCCACTCAATTTCTCTAGGGGAAGCTGTTTGAAAGAATACACTGTCAGTTTTCCTGATGGAGGCAAGAGTCCACAAGATGTTTCAAAGGAAGAAATCTCAAGATGAGTTGAGATGAGGTTTCAGAGTTAAAGATCCTAGGATTCAAATTGTTGTTAGACGCTGTCTGCAACTGGAGGTGTGTCTGCTCAAAAGTAAATTCCACTGGGTTCAGTGCACCTTACTCCTAGGTAGCTTTGTAGTATAGTGATGTAACCCATCACATCCTTCATCATTTCTGATGGAAATTATGATGGAAGCTACTACTAATGTAGTATCAGATCGTATTCAGCAGAGCAGGGTAAGCAAACTGCTGGGTGTTGTTGCTCTTAATTTTTGAATTCAACAGTTTTCCTGTGCCCCATATAAATCATCGGATAGTTAAATTAACTAGTATTGATTTCAGGAGCTTCTGATCCTATGGTTTTCACTTGTACCTTGCTACTCATTCATAGGACAGGAATACCTTTCTTAACATTTATAAGAAATGAATAAAATGGGTAGAATGTTATTATGTAAGGACACAAACCGATCAATAATTTGTTGGTGGATGGTCTGTACATGGGAGAGCCCTCTGCATGCTTAGCCTTAAAAAAAAAGACCTACTGCTGGGTGTGACGTGGGAGTTGTTTTTTCTGTCAAAGCAGACAAGGGTTTCTCCCTTGTAGCACTTCTGTTAAATGATTCCATAAATACTTTTGTAGGCCGGTCTTCCTCTTCTCTTAAAGCAGCTGCTAATATGCACTTTTTGTGTTTTCTAGCTCACCTTTTAATTTTCTATTTACCGAGTAAACAAAATTACCGATAAAACTCACGGTTAGCACTGCAAGCTTAAAATATTTCTTACACAAATGCAGAGTATCCGTTTTGTCCACAGAACTACACATTCAAAATAAACTTAGCCTGGGCTGAAAAATATTACCATCCAAACCTAGTACCAAATTAGCACTGCATTTTCATATACAGAGCCTATAAGCAACTTAAATATAGGTTATGCGAGATATTATTAGCCAAATGCCAGACATTATGATGAGTGGGTGGGTACAGGCATAGCTTGTGTACCACAGAAATACACAAGGGAAGGAATGTGCACAGAGACATACTGCATCTACTTCCACAACAGGCTGCTTGTCAGGAAGGGCAAACTGCACGTAGCCTCATTGCAACTGTGCCTTTTAATGCAGTGCTTTTCCCCCTGTGTGAGCACTTGACACCATTCACTTCTATAGTAAGAAAATAAAGGGGTACATTTGAGGACAGTGTGGGGAAGGAAACCTGCCCCTATTCAACCGCAGTATCTGGACTGAGGGACCGACAGATATAGGAATGAGGTAGGGATGCATAAATACAGCTCTGCTCAGTTTTATTCATTTATCTGGATATATTCATAGTCCTACTTGTCCGTATCGGCTATTCAAGACGGCTTAAAACCCCAGGCTAACTCAATCTGAAACATGACATTATTTACAGGACTCTTTATATTTAAATAACAGTCAAAACAAATAGCAGTCTTAAAAAATAAATAAAAGCAGCATCAAGAAGAGCATTCACAGCATATAACGTATATTTAGCTGTTAGTCCAAAATCAAAAGCCTTACAAAATAAAGAAGCCTGGCTTGTGCGTTGAAGGGTAAGCAATTTGTAACCCACCCAGAGAGCCTTATGACTAACAGGGCGGGTTAGAAATTTATTAAATAAAGAAATAAATAAAAATGACCAGGCAGATACTCCCTGAGAGGGTGTTCTGCAATCTGCTGCAGAAAAAGTAACTGCTGCAGAAAAAGTCACATGGCTTGTGGCCAGGCACAGAACATCTAAAGTTCCTCCCCCTGAAAAAACTTTGTGAGCACATATTTACTTTCTCACTGGCTCCCACTGAGTTCCAAAGGGGAGGAAAGAAATGGAGCAGGTTGCAACAGGATACAGTGGGATCTGTTTTGGCTCAACAGACCTATTTCAAGCATAATCTTATGAGCATCCAGTGCAAAGTGGGAGAAGTGGCAGAGGTGATCTCTACCTTCCTGTTCTTTCTAGCTGAGCACTTTGGGGAGTGGGCGGGGGGGGGGAGAGGAAGATGGAGCACAGTCAGGTACACTGCATTGCAGAGCCCCCAATCTCTACCTCTCTCTGTCTCCCTGGAATGCCCCATCTATCCCTGTTCTGAGGTTGATTTTCTGGAGAGGTAGCTGGGATGGTTCTTTCCATGGTGGCTCAGGGGGGAGGCAGGAGGACTGGAGCATGGATTCCCGGCTCTGCCATCAAAGTTCTGTCTCTGATCTCAGATCTGGGAATCTGAATTATCCTGTGCCTCCACCAACAATATTTTGGGAAATAGAATCTCTTTCTTATTAATTCAGGCTAAAACTGAAGTGATTGTTTTATTTCTTGTTAGAATACAGTCTGTTAACAATTTTTGGACCAATTATAACAAGTACATACATTCATGAAGCAATGGGAAAGATTTATCACCTATTTATGCCTGTTTTTGCAGGTTTTTCAGGAGTGGGAAACTGTCCGAAAACAGTTGAAACCAGCCAGCCTTTCAAAAGCTGATGCTGCAAAAGCATTCTTGTCCTTCATTCAGAAAGTGCGGAAAGCTACAAAAGAAGAAATCCTTCAGATATTGAGAAGTGAAAGTAGCACAGAGATTATGTAAGTTGTTGGCAGCTTCTTTTGCAGTCTCTGTCGCAGAGACATAAATATCCCTCTTAAATTTGCATGTACACTAAAGGGGAACCACCACATTATACAGATCTATAGAGTATTGTATCTACAGTGGCCATTTTTTTCCTGTTTGGCAAGTATGACTCCCACCACCCTGAGACAGCTGATTGGAGTAACGAAATGGCGGTTCAGCCCATCTGGAAGGCACCAGGATGGGAAGAAAGCTACAAACTATTAAATGAACCTGTTCAGTAGATGCACATGTGGGGTTCCACTTTGTCCTGTGTTATTTAGACTTTCTGGTATGCCTTCCTTCCATCTGAAATGGCACTCGTAGGCAATTTGTGTGCCATATAGACCCTAAGCCAAGGCCTGATGTCAGTCTCATTGCATTACTATACCTCCGTGTTCCTCCATTGTATTATGAAAACAGAGAAGCTGAGACATTTCGTTGTTTGTCTAGGGACTATTTACTGGTCTTTATGGAAAATCCACAGCCAGATTTAGACTGGTGCAACACAATGACAAGCACTTACTTCCCTTTTGGACCACTCCCTGAATGCCTGTAGATTCACCTTCCCCATTCTGGCATGGGGCAGATGGTTGGAACTAGAATTCCCATAATCATAGCCGTGCTAGTTGGGAATGATGGGTATTGTAGTTCAACACAATTTTAGGTTGAGATGATCAGTTTGTGACCTTCTGGATGCTTAAGCCTGGAACTCTCATTTTCTCTCAGTACTGGTTGATAGGAGTTGTGTAGGTTAAAATAGCTGGAGGGCCATAAGTTGTTCACCTGTGTTCTAGATGATGAAAGTGGCACTCCTTCTGCCTGAAATGAATGTGCATATTACTAAAACCAACACCAGTGTAAAGCCACTCAAACTCGGCAGTGCTTGTAGGAAGCAAGCTACCACAAAACCTTCCATCCAAAAGTGCAGTAAGACATATTTTCCCAAAAAGGCAGCATGCTTTACAATAAACAGTTGATAACTTTACTTCTTCTGCTTCCCATCATACAGTCCCCAGCTAGTTGATGCTGTAACCTCTGCACAGACCTCAGCCTCTCTGGCGGCTTTGCTGGATTTTCTGGATTTCAAGAACAAGAGTGGCTCTGTGTTGCAGGAGCGGTTCCTCTATGCCTGTGGATTTGCTTCACACCCCAATGAGTTGCTACTCAAATCCTTAATTGTAAGTCCCAAAGAAAACTCTGGTTAATTGTGGTTCTAAGAACAAGGATTATATCTGGAAAAGTTATTGCACAGCCTTTCAGAAGAACTGAAGACACACTCATGAAAACAACAGAGTTTTGAAACTTGTGCAGTTTACCTCTGAATGAGCTTTGGTCTGGGCTGCTAGTGTGTATGTATACATGTATGTACATATGTACACTAATCTTCTCTGTATTGTTCCAACCTTAGTATATGTGCTACCAAAGCAAGCACACGTGTGTACATACAATGTATGTATTTTACTTTTAAACCACCCAATAACCCAGGTTCTCTGGGCATTGTTTAATGCATTAAAAGCATAGGACCAGTAAAACCAGTAAAACAATGACTAACACATGGGTCTTATTTTCAGTAAAGCCAGTGGGGTATAGTGGTTAAGAGTGTGGGACTGGGACTCAGGAGATCCAGGTTCTAGTCCCCCCTCAGCCATGGAGCTCACTGGGTGACTTTGGGCCTATCACAGACTCTTAGCCCAATCTACTTCACAAGTTGTTGGTATGAGGAGAAGGAGGATTATGTAAGTTACTCTGAGTTTCTTGAAAGGAAAAAAATGGGATAAAAACCCTAAATAAATATGAAACATATAAGGACAACAACAAGGACTTGTGAGTGATGAAGTTAATTTACTTCATGATAATGACATAATTGTTAGTCGCTTGTGTGGCTTTAAACATCAAATGGTGGGTATGTGTGGGTGTAGGAGTGTGTACACATGTGTTGAGATTGTGATCAGCACTACACTCTGTGGGGAGAAGAAGGTTTAAATTGTGAGTCTTTCCCCACTGGCCATGATTTTGGTAAAAATCCTGCAAAACTTCCCAATAGTACCAAAGGGGGATGGGGAGGCAAGAGTTTTATTAAGATCGTGGCTGGGGAAGGAAATTGCAAAGCTGAAACCTAAGCTTTGCATTCCTACACACAGCAGCGCTGATCATAATTACTCCCTCCCCTGATCTGTAATTAAAGATACACTCTCCATGATTACTTATCATGTTGTCGTAATGTGTGATTAGTAGTGATACCACCATTTTCCACAACTAGTTGCTTTATTGGTCAGAAATTCTCCTTTTGTGCTGCTTACTCTTGGAGAGAGCCTGGATAAACATATATCAAATTCTTTATTAAGTTCATGATTGTGAGCTCCTAAGTATAAACAGAAAAGTAATATACAGATTCCCTACTTCACCCTACATTTTCCGTTGTCTTGTCAGTTGTCCTACCTCCCACCCTCCAAAAATTTACATGAAGCAGTCTCATTGGCTACTTCCCTCTTGGTCACCACTGCTGAGGGTCCGCCTCCTTGCCTTTGGTGATCTGCGATGGCAAGTAAACATGACATGACATTATCATGTAGGCAAGCCACATGAACGCCACCAATTAAAAAGGAGCCAGTCAATGTGGTTACACATGGCATCATGCCACATTACTCATTTCCAAACTACAGCTCCCAAAACACTCCTTGATCTTGTGCTTGCACAATAACTCATATATAAGGAACTCTCATCTCCTCTTTATTAGTTTCTGATTAAATAATGGGTTCACTCAGGGTAGGTTAGATCGTCCTAAATAGTTAGGTTATGAGTGTTCCAAAGAACCTGTCATCTGAACCTCTAAGCCAGGCTGGTTATTTGCAGTGGGAAGGGCTGCCGTCTTTCATCCATTCTTATCCAGCGGATGCACTGCAGGTATTTCTTGTACTATCTGTTTGGGTACCACACAGAACATTGCTGGGAAGTGAATTCCTGTTTAACATGAAATTTGCTTGCTCATAGCCAAACCTGTGAGTGGAGCCCTGCGGTGGTGACATCACCTGAGAGCTAGTAGGATACACACTGGCTTTTCCTGGGACAAATCTAATAAAGATGCAGAAAAGCTGGTACAAATGCATCCAAGGCTTCTGAGGTTATTTCAGAGGGTTCTGGTTCAGTGGCAGAGATTAACAATGGCTGCTTTTTTATATAACAGAATACATATAATCACAAGATTGAGAAGAGTGAAATCCGAGAAACAGTTATTATCGTTGCTGGAGCCCTTATCCGAAAGTTGTGTGACAAGGGAGACTGCAAACTGCCGGTATGTATTTTCTTTTCTCCTATCAGCAGAGTCCTGGGAGCTGAAAGCCAAAGGAGAATCATCAGGATCTGTCAGAGGGGTGCTTCCTGTTATTGTGCAATCCCCCTTCCTCATTCACAGCATTTTATAATGGATTGAAACAATGTCATCTTCCATTTGTAACCTTCCCACGTTGTCCTGCTGCATCTTCCATCTTTCTTCTTTCCAGAACGCCTCCTCCCCTTAAATAGGAAAGGACAGAAAAGTACATGGTCGGTGCTTCCCAATGAAGAACACTATTCCACCTTTTTCTCCTTTTTGGATTTTTTGTGATAAAAAGAGAGAATCATCAGTAAGAAAACATAGGAAGGTTACAAAGGGAAAGCACCTAGCTTTCCTATAAAAATTCTGTGAATGAGGCAGAACAATTGCATGGTAGAAGCCTCTTTGGAAGCACCCAGGATCTTTTGGTTGTTAGCACTAGGAGTTGATCTGGAAGCACCGAACCTTACCCTTTTGCTTCTGTTGGTGCCCTTTTTCATGTTCCTCCATGTACCTCGAACCTTCCTGTATCTGTGCTTTCCTCATTCCTGCAATTCCGATAATTACCAACCAGCATGAGGCATGCTGGTAGGGAATTATGGGACCTGCAATCCAGTAGGTGCCTTGCAAATGTATTCACACATGCCCCCATTGACTTTTTTTCACATTTTGTTGTGTTACAATCTAGAATTGAAATGGATATAATTGGCATTGTTAACACTTGTACACAGGATACACTCACCACTGTGAAGGTGGCTGGAAAAATGGCAGCTAAACATGGGAGAGGCCTTGGAGGATGATGGCATCATGTGCAGTTCTCACAACCTACCATGAATACAGAATCATGAATGCACAATTCTTGCTTTGTAGAGAGAAGCCCAAATTGATTAGATCCAATGAGGAACTCCTGTTATTTGCTCATGTACACATGCATTTTGATTCTTGAGTTTCTTCAATATCCCCATTAGGCCCTCTTCCCCATGGTTCTGTAGATCAGGGGTGGGTGAACTTCAGGCTTATAGCTCACCCTTTTTCACACTTGAATTCCAACCAGGGACAGCTACAAAGTAGTAGCTTTGGGAAGATGGATATAAGGAAGAAGAAGAATGAGCATGAGCTCAGCCCAGGAATTTGTTTGCACCATTGAACTGGAATTCACATATGGATCTTTTCACATAGAAATTTAATTCTGCTTGTTTCCCAAGCCCCCTTGATTTCAGCAACCTAATTTAGGAGGGAAAGGGTTTTTCTGCTGTTCATTGTGACATGATGGGAAGCTGAAAACTCTTACAGATATCCTGAAAATCACTTAGAGATCTCTCTGTAGGTCCCTCAATAGATCTCGATCTGCTCTGCAAGGCACAATCACTACCTGATTGTGTGGATTCTTTTTGCAGAGTGGCAATGCATTAAAAAGCAGCCACATTTGTTTTCCAGGCTATCGTGGAAGCCAAGAAACTGATATTCGGAAGCTTGAACAGGGCAGAGAAAGCTGATGAGGTGAAGGTCTACCTGCTGGCACTGAAGAACGCTCTCTTGCCTGAAGCTATTCCCACACTTCTGAAATATGCCGAGTCAGGAGAAGGACAAATCAGCAATGTGGCTGCCACTGCTTTGCAGAGATATGACCGCTCTTTCATCACCACTGAGGCAAGCAACAAAACGCCCATAAGGAGAAGGAAGTGCAAGGGGATCACTCATATATTCACTGGCGCCTGCTGCTTTCAGGCCCCTCATATAAATAGTGGCATTTTTGTTTTCATGATTCTCCATTTTATTACTTTATTTCTTTCTGTATTCAGAAAGCCTTCAAGTCTGAGCAAAGAGCATTCCCTTGCTAGATCCTGATCCTGATCCAATAACAGAATTTTCTTCTCTGTTGCCTATATATAAGGGAAGCTTGAGAAGGCAGCAGCCTCTCCATGCTTATTTGTGGTTGAAAGTCCATATTCCCTTGCTCCTCTTCTGCTGTCAACTCTATAGATGTACCTCACTGGATTGTATTCCAATTAGGTGAAGAAAACAATGAACAGGATTTATCACCAGAATCGTAAAGTTCATGAGAAGACCGTGCGCACCACAGCAGCGGCCATCATCCTCAGCCACAACCCTTCCTTCATGGAAGTGAAAAATCTCCTGCTCTCCATTGGAGAGCTGCCACTGGAAATGAATAAGTACATGCTTTCTCTCGTCCAGGACATTCTCCGTTTTGAAATGCCTGCCAGGTATATCAAGTTTCATTTGTTATTTATGTATCTACACATGCCTGTATGAAGCCTTGTTTGAAAGAGAAGTGAAGCTGATTTAGAAAGGATTTGGAAGGACTCTCCATGTATCCAGTATACATGCTTCTTTTTCAGAGAGTCTACTTCTGCGAGCAAAAACCATGGTTCAATAAATTTTCAGCAAAACCCATGTATGAGCAGGATAATCAGCCACAAGATGACACAGTGATACCACTGCTCTCTAGCAGATTTATTGCAATGCATGGAGCTTTTGTTTCAGTTTGTTATGATTTAAAGTTTAATACCAGACCTTCTTTTCTCATTAAAAAAAGCTGTGTTGAAAGGCTGAAAAACACAGGGCAGGCTCTGGAAAAGGTGCTGCAAAGTTCCATGGGTGAGGGATGATGAGTGCAAAATAAATGCCTCAAGTCCATGAGGTCACCTTCTCTCCCTGTGCTTAGAACAGCTCTTCAATTGCTTTTTAAAAAACATGTCCATAAAACAACCAAAAAAGGTGACTGTATAAAAGATGAGCATGTATGTAACAGTTTGAAAATACCTCCAAAATGCAGGGCAGTCACATAATGCATCAGGATTGAGGAATACATGCTGTCCATTTTTCCAATTCGTACCATATTTTTCCACCATGCAAATCGGAAATCTTACCCAGGAAATGAACGATTCATTGCTCAGCAAATAATCTGGGGCAAGGTGATGCATGCAGAAAAGCAGGCAGTTGTAAGAGACGGTGTATTATGCCCTCTGTGCCTGTCTTTCAAAAGCATTACTTTTGCTAGTTGTTTAAGCAGAACGACTGAGATCGGATGTGATGAATGGCATGAAATGATAGCACTATTCAGGCAGAAATCTCTGATTGGTATTTCCTATTGAGCAGCTGTTTATTTGTTCTAAAAGAAAGAAGAGACTCTGTGAGAAGATACAACATTTAAAATCATTCAATTGTCCTTCCTTATTTAGTTTGGGAAAGTACAAATCCAATTGCCTTTCCAGATCCTGAGAAATCCTGTATCTGTGGTCCAGCTGGAATGATTGTAGAGTGCTTTAATAGCTTCACATCCATGCACAGCGAATCTCTTCAGTGTTTCCCCATAGCTTCATAATTGCCATTCTTAATATTTCTTCCACTAGACAATTTCTGTTTCTCTGACCAGATAATTCCTTCAATAAATTAGCAGTTTTACAAGTCAGGTGTACAGAATGCTAAAATTGTTCTATTTTCATTATTGTTAGTAAAATATAGCTATCTAATTGCTTAGTTTTAACAAAAGCTTGTATGCTCAAGAGGCTTGTCTTTGCAAAGTGAAGATCTATAGAATCAGAAAGTACCAGTTATACCTGATTCAATATTCCACGGTTTAGAATAGTCTATTCCTATGCATGTTTCCTTGAAAGTAAAGCTGCACCATATTCAGTGGGGCATACTGTTGAGAAATGTGCATAGGATTGAAGCCTAACATTTATTTAGTTTTATTTTAACAGTGAATTGTAATGTATCTTTGAGGGAACATTCCTATCAAATGACAGGACCCCTTTAACAGTTCTAAGTTCACTGACCCTTAACCATGAGTTTAAGCAGCTTTAGCATATGAGAATTTAAAAATATGTAGGCCAATGCAACACTGGCATTTTTTACCTTATGGTTTCAGTAGAGTTTGGATTGTTCTGTTAAGGTAACACAAGCCCTTCCTTCTCCAGCATCATGGCTCTTGTTAAGATTCCTTACAGAAGGATTAAAGACATTTTATGTGTTACAGCAAAATGATCCGCAGAGTTCTGAAGGACACACTTATTAATAATTATGACCGATTCTCAAAGATGGGTTCTTCTTCAGCCTTCTCTGGGTACCTAACACGTATGTAACTAACAAACTAGACAGCCAATCCTATTAATATTTCTTGATGTTCAGTTGCATCAAAAATAATTACAATATGTGCTTCTGTTTAATCCAGGTGGACCAGATGTGTCATCCACATATAGCCTTGACATCCTCTATTCTGGCTCTGGCATCTTAAGAAGAAGTAACCTGAATGTGCTCCTTTTCAATAAACATGCTCACCTTCATGCCAACCAGGTAAGTCCCAAGCACAGCTGGAATAATAACTCATCAGTAAGAGCCAAACTCTGTAGCTTGGACCAAATATAACTTGAATGCACTATTGCACTATTCTGAGAGTCACTGTGGTATAATAGCTGGTAGGGTTACTACGTTCTAGTGGGAACCAGGAAAAGCTGCCTTATGCCAGGCTAGACTATGGCTATGTTTGCACATACCGTTAAGTCATAGTTTATGTTAACCACAGTTGGTTGCTTTAGCTATGAACTGTCCTGTTAGACTAGCAGACAAACCTTGGCTTGTTTTTCCTATTTCTGGTTTCTTTCCCTCCCACTCATTTTCCCACCTATGAGAGCATTTTGTTTTCAGGCAGATTAGTTTTGCTGAGTGCCTCTGTGCAAAAAAGCAGGGATAAGTCACAGATCTGGGTTCAGACACAGGGACAAGCCACAGGATAAACAGCCATACTTCATAAGCCAAAAAAAAAAAAAAAAAAATCCATGAATTTTATTTGTGGTTTGTAGCTGGTAAACAAACTATGGCTGGTTTCTAGGGATGAGTTCAGATACCACAATAAACCAGATTCAACAAACCACACTATGGTTCAGCATTATGTGTGAATTTATGTTACCTTATGTTATTTACGAAGTTGTGCCTGACCCACCACGACCCCATGGACAACATTCCTCCAGGCCTTCCTGTCCTCCACCATCCCCTGGAGTCCACCTAAGCTCACACCGACTGCTTCAGTGATCCATCTAGCCACCTCATCCTCTGCCGTCCCCTTCTCCTTTTGCTGTCAATTATTCCCAGCATTAGGCTCCTCTCCAGTGAGTCCTTCCTTCTAATAAGAATATCAAATGGCCAAAGTATTTGAGTTTCATCTTCAGTATCTTGCCTTCTAAAGAGCACTCAGGGTTTATCTCCTCTAAGACTGACTGGTTTGATCTCTTTGCGGTCCAAGGGACTCACAGGAGTCTCCTCCAGCACCACAATTCACAGGATATTTTTTAATCACCTGAATTTTATAAATAGAGATTCCAAAGCATAAAGGGTATGTTCGCTCATATAATTTTGTCACCTTCCTTAAGGGAGTGTCCTGAACTAAGGTTTGTTTTAGCAGTGGTATCACCATCCATTTTTCTTTTTCTTTTAATTTCATAAGGGTTTTTTTTTTTTTTTGTTTAAACCGTAGAGAGACTGGCCAGAGAGAAAAAACCTCCTGTATCTTTAATAAATGTACAGAAGTGGAAATTGGAGCAGGTGCAGCTTTTTCATCTTGGAGTGCCAACATGTACCTATCAAACTTGGATAGAATAATAGAATTGGAAGGGATCTTGTAGGTCATCTAGTTGAACTCCCTCTGCCCTGCCATTTCTAGGATCTGCTATACATGATGCAAGTACAGTATCCCTGATAGATGGCCATCTAACCTATGTAAGCCGCCCCGAGGCTTCGGAGAATGGGGCGGCATAAAAATGTTTTAATAATAATAATAAAAAAACCTCTGTTTAATTTCCTCCTCCAGTGGAGAACCTATCAGCTCCTGAGGCAGCCTATCTCACTGCTGAGCAGCTGCTAACATTAGGAAGTTTCTTCTACTGTTCAGTCAGAGTGTGCTTCTCTGCAGTGTCTACCCATTGCTTCTGGTCCTGCCCTCTGGAGCAGACCAGCTCTGCTCTGTCTTCTGCCTGACTGTCCTTCAGATCTTTGAGGACCACTATAATGCCTCCGGTAGTCTTTTCTTTAGAGAAGCCTGCCTTGATCCTCATTGGGTCACCCCTGAGCCAACATTAGGGCACAGTCTACAAGCAAACGATGCAGGCAACTTAGCAGGTCTGGGGCTGAACTGTGCCTGATTATGATGTGTTTGGGTGAAGCTGGTCAGCTGTCATCATGTGAGCCTTCCTTCTCCCCTTGTAGGTGGTAATTGAAGCTCAGGGCCTGGAATCCATTATAGCAGCATCTCCAGATGAGGGTGAAGAAAACCTGGAATCCTTTGCTGGCATGTCAGCAATCATGTTTGATGTTCAACTTAGACCAGTTACCTTTTTCCAAGGGTATGGCGATTTAATGTCTAAAATGTTTTCGGCCACTGGAGATCCCATAAATGTAGTGAAAGGCCTTATCCTCCTCACGGATTACTCACAGGTAAGCACTATATACTGGACACTTACGTTCCTTTCAAACATAGGTAACATTTGTTACTCCATGGTAAATGATGAAATGTTAAGAGCTCACTGTGACAAGGACTAGCCCAACGTGTTCTGCTCCTGGAGGCAGAGCAGCAAATGGTGCCTCCGACTGACCCCAGTCAAGGCACAGAGTACCCAAAGCCAGCCAAGTAATTCTGGCAGGAGGCTGCAGATCCTCCAAGCACCTCTCCCTATTCCTGCCGGTTAAATACAATTAAAAATAAGTAACCCTTTGTGGTTCTTTCATGACACCCAGAATCTGCTGCCTGAGACAGCTGCCTCATCTGCCTAATGCCAGGACTGGCCACAGCCCCTATGGACAACCCACAAGGGGAATCCAAAAGAGCAGGCAGCTCCATGTGTATGCATGTCTGTGTCTTCATGTGAGCTGGCAGTGAAGTACAAAGTCCTGCAAGCTGGGGGTGGAAAACTACCGCCCCATGCCACGCAATCTGAATTAGGGGCTCCTTAGTTGTACACTTTATGGTGGGGGGTGCAATTATTTTATGCTTTGGTGGAAGCACACAGGTGTGGCTGCTTTGCAGTTGGTTGTGGAGTTCCGCTTTATGTCTTGGATGAGTCGTTCTAAATTGTTTGATTATTTTTGATTTGCAATGATCCATGTTGTTATCTACTGGGAAATATAGGACAGACAAAACTTACCTATTTGTTTAAACACTTGAAGGAACCATCATCACCGAGTGTGATACTGTGGGAGGAGTGTTGGACTAATCCATGGAACACCCAGGTTCACAACCCTTGCCAAGAAGCTCCCTGTGTAAACTTGAGTCAATTCCTCTTTTTCAACCTTACCCAGCAGGGTTATTGTTAGGATCAAATGGAGTGGATGGGAACTACATATACCAGCTTTTCCCAGGCTGGTGGCCTTCAGATATAGTGGACTGCAAGTCCCATCATCCTTAGTAAGCATGAGCCTTGCAGTCCAGACAACAGGATTGTGATGTACACCATCTTTAGTTCCTTGTAACAAATGTGGGATGCATATGTAGTGCAACAGTGACTCTACCAACAAAATAAACCTGACATTTTGAGTCAACTGGATATAAAGAACCGTTAACAGTAATGGCAACTACCAACCACATATAGTCAAGGGAGGAAGAGGATCCTTTTTACAAGCTTTATTCAACCCACCTAATTCTTAAGATAAATCCTCAGCCCACTTGAAGTACATCTGACTGCCAAGTGACAAATCTTTTTGCCTCTGCTGCCTATAATCGGGCCTTAAAAGGCAAGTCGCCATAGATAATCATAGCTGTGAGAAGAAGGAGGTGGTGGTGGTGGTGATGTCTAGGTGCTTGGGACAGCAACTCTATTGAGTGATTCTTAAATGTGCCATTGACTTTAATGGCATCCAGTTCCTTTCTCTTGGCAATAGTGGCAAAGGATCAGTAGAAAAGGATGGAGGTCAGGATCTACGGTAATGTAGCACACATACACGTATTCCTCAAGAAGAGAATCTACCATGCTGTTCTCCCCCATGGAGTGACCCAAGCTCCCTCTGCCTGTGACAAGCCCATTGACAAAACCTAGCGGAAGGCTAATTGGCACATCTGTTTTGCTTCAGGGTTTTTCTATCACCAAGAACAATCGAATAAAATGCTGCTGGCACATTTGTCCTTTATATTATTATGTTCTGCTCAGTGTTTAAAGAATTGGATGCTCTTGGGAAAGTGGGCTTGTAATATCACAAGCTCCTAGAACATGCCCAGATGGCTGCTTCACCATGAATACAGAACTACCTACTTCAGTTCTCCAGGCTTCCAATTCTCTGAGGCCTTTGGGGGTGTAATCCTTGACCTGGGTTCTGGATGACTTGGAATGAACCTCTTGAGGAAGAGGTTTCAGTGTGAAGCAAAACAAAGCAATGGAGGGGAGAGAGAAGCTCATAATGAAAGCATGACCATGCAGTCGTATGCATATTTATTAAGAAGAAACTGTCTTCAATGAGGATTTACCCTGGATAATGCATCTTTATGCTTGCCCTTCCTAATAGTTTGCCATTTACAAAAAAGTAACTTTTTGTACAAAAAGTAAAAAATCTTTTAAAAGATTTTTTTAAAAAAGTAGATTGGGACCGCACTTCTGGGCCACTTACCCAGGATAAACCCTCATTGAAGGCAGTGTATGAATTACTTCCTAATAAATAGTCATAAGATTGCATTGCTATGCTGTGATTCAATGCACATTTACTGGGGAGTAAATCTTCATTGACCTCAGTGGGACTTCTGAGTCAACAAGCACTGGTTTAGGCTGTATCGCACCTTGTTTTATGCTATGTTGGGCAGCTATATATAAAGTTAATGTGATTTGCAAGCTGTGTGAACTTTAAAATCTTGGCTGTCCATCAGCATTCAAATGAAATGACTTGCCCTGACCCTGAACTGTTATCGCTTCCAAAATTGTCTCTGTGCAATGGAGTTCTAGTCCAGCTGCAAAAGATGCAAGCTCCGGTCATGGCAGAAAAGGCTCTCCTCACAAAGCCATGGCTCTTGCAGAATTATGAGGAAAACTGCTGGGCTTTTCCTGCAGCAGCTCTTTTGTGCTTGCTGTATGTGGCTCGATGCTTTTGAGGACAGACAGGGAGCCCTGTGATTTGCAGCGCCCTAATTTAAAAGCCAATCTATTTTCTCACATGTAACATTTGAATGGGGTGAGATGGGATGTATCTTCTCGACCTGAAAGTTGATGAAGAGGCTGCATTAGCTGGAAAAACTGAGCACATGTGTACATGCTTGTTTGTACTTGATTTTAAAATTCTGCCCTTTGGGGCCAGCATTAGTAAGCATCCGAAGCAATACATGGCAAAATAGAAGCTGTTTCTAAGACATCTTGACCAGTATGGTCAAGACATTTTGCTCTCTGGGGAAAGGACAAGATGATTTCCCCTCAACCCACACAGAGAAGCTTAGGATAGCATCTGTTGTGGTACCTGGGAACTTCAGGCTAGTTTATGGGCTGCAGAGCAGGCTGAATGGCATGTCCTGCCAATGCTCAGAGCTCCAGGCATCTCCTACCTCACACTACCTAATGATTAGAAGTCCCATGTATGGTCGCTTCTGCATTTAGCTGGTGCTGCGCGGCTGGGATGTCCAAATGAGGAAAGCTTGTGAAAGGAAGTGGCAGAGGTGACACAGGTGCCTTTTTCCTTGACAATGTTTCTTGGGTTGCCTGTGCCATGTGAGATCATTGTGCTTGAAATGGGAAAAGAACATAAAGAAGAAAAGTTCTGCTGGACTGGGGCAGTGCAACTACACAAGAAGAATCAGGGTTTATTTCACTTGTATACTTAAAGGATGCATTCTCCCAACTCTAAAAAAAACAGAAACAAAAATATACTCATATGAAGGACTCTCTAAGTGTACTCATGAGACACAGGAGCAAACCAGAGCATCACAACTAACTAAGGTTATATATGACCAGCCCTTCATGCTTTAGAAATGCTCTAAATCTCCTGTAAGCAACCCTGAATAGGGAAGGATAAGCATGTAATAAGTGCTTTGTATAAAAAAGCCCCCTCTGCCAATCTGCAGAGCTCCCTTGACTTGACCAAGGAAAATGACCAATTTGGCTGTGTGCATAGATGTGCATGTACAGGGATAATTTTCCGTCTTCATTTCATTGCTTTGAAAAGGAGAAGAATCAGTAAAAGCTTGGCTACTGTCCTAGTGAAATGCTTCCCGCTGCCTGAGCATCCACAGCATCCATCCATCCATCCATCCATACATACATAGCAGAAATGCCAAAGATGGAGTCACAGTAGGCATGCCATTCCATTTAGCAAACTAAGGCCTGATGCATTTCCTATGCTTCTGCTGTTAGGTCATCCAGCTACAATCTGGCCTGTCGTGCAGCACTGAATTTCAGGGAGGCATGGCCATCGATATTTCAGGAGGAATGGAATTCAGCCTTTGGTATAGAGAATCTAAAACCAATGTTAAGAATCGGTGAGTTATCTAACTTTGAGCATCAAATTACATTATCAACAGGAGGATTTAAAACCCAATTAAAATACAGAAAGCTGAACAATGTCCATGTTTTAGACAGAAATAGTCATTTGGAAAAATGTTACGAACAGGGAATAGATCATCTTTCTTTGTGGGGTTTGTTTTTGCTTGCTTGTTCTTGAAATGTGGGAAAACACAAATCCAATTGAACCATTAAGATGTGGCGCTCTTACCTGGAAGTAAGCCCCATTAAACTTAGTGGCACTTATTTCTGAGTAGATATGCGTAAGGGTACACTGCAAATAGGTAAAGCTAGTACACATTAAACCATTCCGCCCCAGAGCTTTTGCACTGGATCTGAAAGGTACTCAGCATTAGGCTTTGGTATATGGTTGGCAGAGGAAAAGAGATGTTGGAGCGGTTACTGAAAGAGCCCTCTTTCCTCCATCTGATATCCTCGTCTGGCTTTCAAACGAGGGCATGCTCAGTCCATTTGGGAGTGGGCATGGGCTTATTAATCTGAGACACGGAGAGGAGTTAGAAGTGGTGGAATTGGTGGAGATTCCCCAGGGTGGGGTAGAGAGGGTAATTCCTAGAGTAGGTAATTTCCTGGGGAATTGGTACTAATTTTGCATGCTCCTGAGATGGCAGTACCTTGAGAACAGTGTCAAAATGAATTGGACACTGGGAAAGGATGCCCCCTCAAAATCTTTGGAAAGAACGGAATTGAGTCTCCTTTATGCTAAAAGTTATCTTGTGAGCTTTTAAAGCATCTGACATGTATCATGTGAGCCCTCCCTGTGAGAAAGAGGGGGAGAAAGCAGCAGGATGGGATGGCACCATGATGACATAGTGAACCTGGCCTAAATGTTATTGGAGGGAGGGACAGTTCAGTTGTTACAGTACCCTCCAGTATGGGACATTACATCTGCTTGTTTCTCAAACTCTTCTTTTAGGGGAGCCGTGGCAATTGTTGGCAACATTGTTGTGGATGCCTCCTTTGTGAAGGCTGGCATGGAAACTACCTCTGAAGTCGAAGCAACCCTGGATTTTATCTCCACGGTGCAGTTTTCACAGTACCCCTTTTTAGTGTGCCTGCAGATGGACAGAACCGAAAGTCCACTCAGGTAGGCATTGGCAGGAACTCTTGGTTGATGCTGTTGTGCAACAGAAGGGGGTGTCGCAGTGGCTTCCTTTTGCTTTCTGCCACCAGGCCTAGTGCAGCACAGTGCAGGCACCAACTGGATGGCTTTCGTAGATGATCAAGGGTAAGGCAATTGACGGCTGCTAATGATACTGCATCTCCCATCCACATCCAGAGGCAGCTCACTTGCTGGTGAGCATGCGTGGAAGGCTGGTATTGTGCTTCTGCCTGTGTGTGTGGGATCCCAGCTGGCCCCGGACGAAAGCCGTCTAGTGGACCACATAGGCTTGGGGACTAATCCAGCAGGAGCCTCCTTACGTTTCTTACATGACAATAGGAGCTGAGATCAGGCTGTGGATCACTTGTGCTCAGCTCCGGTCTGTCAGAAACGCTAGAGGTCCAGCACCTTACATTTTAAACATGAAACAAAGCTGTGCATGATCAATATTGCTTAAGCTTTATAGTGGAAAACAAAGGGCGATGCATGCCTTGTTTTATTTTATTTATTTAAAATATTTCTGGACTGTTGTTCATCAAAATTGATTCCAGAGTGTCTCACAGAGGCATTTCCAGTGTAAGGCACTGGAATGAAAAGGCACTTGTGCCTTATATTATTGTATTTATTACATTTCTATACCACCTAATAGCCAAAGCTTTCTGGGTGGTTTACAGTGATTTAAAACTGTAAAAATACAGTATTGTGCTAATATGGAAATAGTTTAGCTACAAACACTGAGAGGGTACACACAGTCACACATAGAGATTCAAACACTATCCCATGATATAATTATAAGCCTATCCTGGTCTGCCAAATGCTTAGGAGCAGAGGATAGTCTTAATTTGGTGCCAAAAAGATAACAGTGTTGGTGCCAGGTGGGCCCTGATGGGAAGTACATTCCATAATGGGCAGTTGCCACTAAGAAAGTCCCCTCCCTTCTTGTCAAATTCCAAGATGAAACACCTGGAAGAAGGCCTTCGAAAATGGGTACACTGCCCATTTTACTGTGCCCCATGGACCTACTTTTACAGAATTGGTAGAACCCCTTTTTAAAAGCATCTCTGCTGGTGGCCATCATATGTGGCAAGATGTGTCCCTCCCCAAGCAGCCCACTAGGCAGGTGTGAGTGTAATGTTATAGTCAGAGTAGGCTGGGACTTGGGAAATCCAGTTTCTAATCCCCACTTAGCCATGAAACTTATTCAGTGATTTTGGGCAAATCACAGATTCTCAGCTTAATCTAGATCACAGGGTGTTATGAGGATAAAATGAAGCAGAGCAGGAGCAGGACCAGGTAATCCACCTTGGGCTTCTTGCACAGGCACAGCAGAAATTTATAAATATATAAATATTAATAAGTAGCAAATTCCCAAATTAATTGCACATTGTTTAAAGAAGGGTTTTCCCTGGTTGGTCCTGAATTTTCTGCCAGTCACTTTCACTGAATAATTCTGACTCCTTGAGTGATTTTTGAGAAGTCCACTCTCTCTCCATAGCACATAATATGATAAACTTCTATCATGTCCCCACTTGGTTGGCTTTTTTCTTCTAAATTAACAGTGCACTCCTAAGCATGTTTACTCAAAAGCAAATTTCACCAACTTGCTCCTTCACAAACCTTCCTAGCATCTCAACATGTCCTAAGTGCACCAGCCTTTTCTGAGGCCTCTTCCAGCCCTATAGGATGCATCTTGAGATGGAGTAACAAGAGCTGTACACACAGAATTCCCAGTGTGGCTGTTCTTTATATAAGGTGGCTGGTACATAGTAAGAAGATGCATCCTGCAAGAACTCTTGGAGAGTGCACCAAAGGAGGAGTGAATTCCAACCTCCAGTTTGGAAGAGAACACAGAACTCACCGTGATATATCTATAGAACAGGCATGGAGAACCTTTCTGGGCTACTGTTGAGAATGGCTCAACGTATAAACAACCCACAAGCTCACGGGCAATAAAACTAAAGTCTTTTATTGCTACTTGTCTACGAGATTTACAACACTACAGATAAGCTCTACTGTTAAGGTCTTTAGAAGTCAGATGCTAACTCTTTCTTTGATGTAGGCCCGGGTGTTTGCTCAATGGGTAAAGGGTCAGGATGAGGTACGGCTATCTGCTCAGCCATTCCCAAGTTAGGTTGTGGGGTTGACATTTGGGTACAGGGTCTCAAGCACAAGACCTCCTCGTGAGGTGCTGCCTCTGTTGGGGCATCAGGCACGACAGCTAACTTTGTTCAGGGACATGTTGGCAGGGCTGCATGGCAGTGATGAATGGGCCTAAGCTAGAAGTGGGCACGGCATGCTTTTCCATCCCTCTCTTGTTGCCACCACTTTCTCTCTCCTCCTCTTTCTGTCGCCCCTTCTCTGTCCCTCTTCCTTCCTGCTCAATGGGCTGCTTGAGAAGGACAGCTGAGGGCTTGACTGGTTGCTTGCAGGGATTTTGAAATTAGGCCAAAGGCTGCATGAAATTCAGCAAAAAATGTTAGACCATAAACTGTAACCAGATGCTTCCTTAATACGTTAAAAATATTTCTGGGGTTAAGCAACAGTGAGGCTGTTGATATATATCAATGCATTAATCTGTTTTGCCAAAGTGCCTTTCGACATGTAGGTGCCCTGATTTTGGAACAGGAATATTAAGAAGACATATTCCAGATATTGTATATCATAATGTCACTGGGTTTGTTTTGCAGGCAATACATAACTAAATACGAAAGTCTACCATCTGGAAAACCTTACATCTCTCGGAAAGGAAAAGTGAGGCTGCTGGCAGGTTCCGAGTATCCCCTTCACCAGGAGAATTTCCACATGTGCAGGGAAGTTTTCAGCAGCCAGTCCGAGTCCTCAAGCTGGTTTTGAGATGGGTGCTCAGTCGTCCCTGTGACCACAGATGGCTGACTGCTGTGCTAGCCGAGGGCCTGAATCTACTCTGCGCAAAGTGACAGTCCATGAGAACTTTGCTACCAACTTCAAGAGGCCCTTGAGTGTGTGTGCACTGTGTTTACATATTGACTTATATTTAAGAGTTGGTTGTTTGGGGGGTTTTTTAACAAGCAAAGGAAAGAGTATGACTAAATTCAGTCCCCGATAGCCCAATTGGATGCAATGTAGCAGATCCCTGCTTGGATCTCCCAACATCTTTTCTTTTTTTAAAAAAAAGGTAGCTGGGGGAGGTGAAGTCACTTTGGAATGATACCACAATACTGCAAAGAGAGGATTTTTGTTTAACCCATTGTCTGTCTTTTCCTGACCCACCACACCAGTTGATTTTTGTAACTTTAAATCACTCCGTCTAACCTAAAAACTGCTATTAGCCTTAGAGAGGGAAAAGACATTCTGTACTGTATTTGTCCTTTTCCTCCTCTGTACCTAATAGCTGGGGAATGCAGGGTTTTGGAAGACTTTTTCTGTCTAAACATGCATAAAACTGTACTCTTAATGGCAGCCATTTTGTGAGGGAAATGGTACACAGAGAGAGAAGTGGTGAGGGAAGTGGTACACCCACTCCCTACCCCTTCATATTTCATTTCCCTTTCTAAATTGTCCCCCCTCCTCCAGCTTCCATAGTTGCTTTTCACCAGCAAAGAAGACAGAAGCAGATCCGGTTACAAGTCATTCCGTGTGTCTGCTATGGGCCTAAAGTTCAGCATCAGTTAGGTGTAAATAAATAAATATGCTGCAAACATACAGGAAATACAAAAGACCTTCTGAGAAGTATTTTGAAAATGACACAGTCAAATAATGATTCTTTATGCATGCACTTAGGCTGCGATTGTCAGCCATCTTACTCTAGCAGACTCCATATGGAGAGATCAGGGCTTTACTGGTGCACATTTTTTAAAAAAAGGATGCTAATAAAACATATGGAAGTGTTCCTTGCCAAGATGGCTCAAAAAATTGTTAGTGCAGCCCAGGTGAGGCTTTCTTTCTTAAAATCGTGGAAGAATTGTGCCAGTGAACAAATGTATTTCTGGACAACTTCCATTCAGTGGGGGCTGAGCAGATGGTCCTGAGCGATGTTTGCCTCTCCCATGCGGTTGTGTACTTTGCTTAGTCAGAATGCAAAAATAAAAAAAATCTTGGTGTTACATGGAAAATATTTTAACATAGCATGAAAGCAGTTTACTGCATTCAAATCATGTGTGTTCTATGTATTATCCTAGCTCTCTTTCCCCCAGTTACAGTCTGCGAATTATACAGAAATCTTGAACATTATTGTTATGTGAAATATATTCCATGCATTAAGATTGCAGCCTTATGCTAGTGTTCCTTTTTGGGTTCTCTCCCACCCCTGCCGTTGGCTGTTTATTCAGAAACCAGCTGTCTGCTTTGAAAGACTTAAGTGAACAACCTGTGTACAGATAAATTATAATTTATCTTTATTTTAAAATGTGTGCAAAAATGTTTGATATATTTGGCAAGAGAATGGGGAGAAGGTAAGGTACAAAAATGTATTTTGCTGTCCTGGGAGCCAACATAGAGAAATAGACACACTGGTGCTTTTTAGCTATCTTATCCTGGAAAATGATGAAAGTAAAGGGATCTGTACCCAAACTGAACCAGAAGACTGGAAAATATCAGGACCAAAAATATCAATCCCCCTCCAACTTTAGTATTGTCTTGCCAATCTGCCTTCTCATGATATTGTACAATTATTCTAGATTTTTTTTTTTTTTGCTAGTTAGTTGTTGCTGCTATTTTTCAAACCAATTTTCTTCTTGCAAGGAACTTAAGGCAGCTTACAAGCTTCTCCTCATCTCTGTGTTATCCTCCCAACAAAACACTGTGAGGTAGGTTAGACTAAGAGTCCATGACTGACCCAAAGTGAGATTAATTGCTGATTGGGAACTAGAACTCAAATCTCTAACATTCCAGTCCAACACTATCACCACTATGTCACATTGGCCTTACTAAGTAATCCTCACATGCTCCCAGCTTGATTCCAGGCAATGGGATATATGAAATGTAAATGGATATAAATTATTATATGCAATTGTAAATAATATAAAGCTTGTTATTACTACATGAATCAGTTGGGTTTACCTTTGCTGGTAAGAGTGTACTAATTATTATCAAATACACTAGAAAAGCAGCTTTCTTGTGCATAGTCTTGGCAGGATCAGAACTTAAACACTAGCAAAAATTAGAATAATTTGTTCTTTCCCATCCCTCAAACATTCCACTGGCCAAGGCCCTCATAAATGAGCAAAATCATCCTATTTTTTATTGATTCTACTTTGTAAGAAACTTATATGCCCCAACCAAAAACAAGCAAAATACCGTGTCCCTTCTTTGGTATTCTCGAGGTGACCCACCTTATAGATATGGTTTCCTGACATATATTTATGCATATTGTCAGAAGATGCTAGGATATATGAAAAGTTCTGATGTTGGACTTTGACCAGGGAGGCCTGGTTTCAGACCCCAGAAAGATTACTGGGTGGTCATGGGCCAGTCATTAACCTACCTGTGCTTCTTGGGGAAGAGTAAATGTTACAAACCAGTCATATATATATAGCACCCTGCACACTCATCACTCAGCCGTCACTGCCATGCCAGAGACATGCAACTGATTCAGAGCTGTTGTGTAAGTGAACATTCCCATTCTCCCCATGCTATTAAAGTTGGATGGGGACAGCTATCTCTGGTCCTGATACTTTCTGATCTTATGTGTACAGAGCTGCTGCCAGTTTTGGAGCTCCTTTGACTGCAAGGAGCTGTTCAATTTGAGCACAGGTGCTCATCATCATTTAGCACAGAGGTGAGCAACATGAGGCCCTCCAGATGTTTTTGCCTACCACTCCCATCCAGCCTAGCAAGACCTTGCCCACCCCTGGTCTAGCTAATTAGTTTTCAATCAGTTGGTTATACTGTGTTGTTGTTTGTGTTTTCAATATGTTGACCAAAATGAATTTCCATATGGAACTTATAAAATAAAATGGGAGAAAATTAGTCGAGTGACCCTTTTCCTTTCTGGATTATTTGAATATGGTTATTTATGCTACGGTCTCTTCAGCAGTGTCATTAGAAGGTCTCAGCAGGTCTCTGGTTGTGCTTCTCCACCATAAGGACAGGAGGATTTTATAGCAAAACTGGACCAAATCTGCATCTTGTGCAGCATTCATTTTTCAAAACCAGTCAGCAGGATGCCTTCAGACGACTGAGAAACAGAAAATTAAGTTGACCACTATCCCCTGTTGCTATGAATGGGTTGAAATTGAGGTTTTCTTTGACCATTGATAGATCTATTTCCACCATAGATGAATTTTAAATATTTTAAAAGCTATCTAATTGGGAGTACCACTTATCCACATCTTTCTGGAAATTTCTAGCAAAGCCTTCCCCAGCCTGGTGTTGCCCACATGTGTTGGACTACAACTCCCAGCATCCCCATATTTATTTTATTTATTATTTATTAAAACATTTTTATGCCGCCCCATTCACCAAAGCCTCGGGGTGGCTTACAACAATAAGTTAAAAAATAATTATAACATTAAATTAACAAAATATAAACATTAAGTTAAAAATACAAATACCAATATAAAATAAGCCGCCCTGGCCAGATAAAATCCAATAATATTAACAATTAAAATGCCGCTTAAATAAAAAGGTCATCGCCTGGCACCGAAAAACAAATAACAACGGCTCCAGGCGGACCTCTCTGTTTCATTGTGTGATACTCATAAAGGTTGGAAGAAATTCTATTTCAGTGGCTAGACATTTTGTTATTTGGGAGATGTGCAAGATGGCTGGCAACCAGCAACACTACTCAGGGTAGGAAATTCTACAAATTAAAGTATGGGTCATGTTGCCACAGAAGATGTTTACCCTGGCTGGAATTTGTAATACTCATCTCCAATCTGAGGTGAACAGTGTAACTCCTAGAAGTCTCCTCAAGGTCAGAGTATCCTATAAACCAGAAATGAAGCCCTTCCTCTAGTCCCATACTTTGTTGATGGTGAGTGTGATGGTGGAGGCAGGAAGGGAAGCTTTACCTTCACTGATCCTGGAATGTTACTATGAGCCAAGCAATGGGAAGTACATTCTTTCTAGGACACCTGATGTCAACCAGATTTCCAGGGGAAACTACATGACAACACTGTATCTGCCAGAGGTTGATAGGAGGTAGACCTCTCTGTCTCCATCGCAGCCTGGTATTGTGAGAAGATTAAAAAGCTGCTGTTGCTGTAACAGCCACAACAACTACTGGGACAGCCAGATAGAAAAGCCTGGGAGAAGACTGGGAGAATGCTGAGGAAGGGAGAGGTGTGGGAATTCAGACCATATCTTGATGACATCTTCAGAAGCACAAATTGGGCTAAAGAACATCAGAAACCATCTACTACACCTAAGCAATGGCCCATCTCATGTGGCGTTCTGTCCCCACAGTGACCAGCCAGATGCCCCTGGGAAGCCGCAAGCAGGACATCATCACATTCACACCCTTCCAATTAAGTTCTGCTGTCTCCAATCCTGAAGTAATAAATAGTCATCATGACTAGTAGGCACTGATATCCCTTTCCTCCATGAATCTGTCTAGTTCCCTTCTAAAGTTAGCAGAGTTGGCAGCCATTGCTACATCTTTGGGCAGTGAATTTCATAATTTAACTAAGCATTGGATGAAGAAGCACTTTCCTTGGTCTGTCTTGAATCTCCCCCCTCTCAGTCCTTGAATGCCCTGGGTTCTACTATCATAGAAGAGGGAAAATACTTCTTTCCAGTCTCCCCAGACCATGCAATATCTGTGCAACTCTCCATACCACACCAAGGTGTAAATGGGCCCAGAAATAACTGAGCTGTTTATTGGTTTAGCTAGGATGGTGTAACATGGCCTGAAGCTGCATCGAGCTCCTGAGAGGTCACCCATCGTTAATTGTTCATTGTGCAAAGAAGCACCTCCTTTTGTTTGGGGCAGAGGAAGAATGAGTCATTTTTTCAGGGCAGGTTATTAATCTTTTGCAGTCCCCATTCCTTTCAGTGGGGCTTACAGAAGAATGTGCTAGTCTGCTGTTCTGTCTCAGGCACAAGGCATTAATTGTGTGCTCATGATCCTTCACTTATGGAGGTTTGCAGCGCCTTTTCATGACAGAGTTAACCTCCAGAGCCTCTTCCATGATTTCCAGCAAGAGAGAGAGAGAGAGATTTTTAGAGTGAGGAAGGCTTGGTATTAAATTTCAAGCTGAACAAACTGGAACAAAGGCCTTGTGAAAAGTTGCAAATCTGTACTGCAACTACACCACATTGCTACCTGGTGGTTGGATAAAAGAATTTATGGAAAAGCAGAGAAATGCAAACCCATTTCCTCCTGCAATGAAAATGAAAGAAGCTGTGGGTTAAACCCCTCATGCAGAGTGGTTCTCTCCAAACACACATGCAATCACATACACAGCAGAACCTCCTTTGGCTCAAGGGCCAAATTCCACTTCAGGGAAGCTCTTGGGGTCAGTAGGAATTTCCAGTGGTCAATGGGACCAAAGATAAAAAGAAATAGGGCCAAAGGGCAGCATTTCCCCCAACCCCAAGCTTTACATTTTAATTTAAAGCCTTTACTGTTAGTAATTAAATCTTAGGAGAGGCATTTAAGATTTTTAAATTGGGAAAAACTGGACAAAAACAGAAACCCACTAAACTATTGGTGGTTGGGAGAAAGGGGTGTAGCCATGGGAGCATCTTGGTGGGTCTGGGACCTCCAGAAAGCCAGATTTGGGTACCAGGTCTGAGGTTCTGCATCTCAGCTCTATGTTTCTCCCTGACAATTGTTTCGAAGCAATTATCTGGCAACAGTAGGACTCTGGAAAGGAAACATGGATAAGAACTGATGCAAATCAGACCTTTC